CTGGGTAATGGGAGTGGTTGGGGTGGGGAAGGATGAGGATGGGGGTGGTGGGGGAGAGGGAACAAGCAGGCTGGTCACCGCCTTACCCTCTTGATGGGATGGGGCTCGAAGTGACTGCAAGCAAGTTTCCTCTCAGCTCTGGGCGAGACAACTCAGGATAACCCAAGAAAAATCTCGAGTAACAGTGTTCAGAGTTGCTCTGATCTCGAATTACTCAGGATAACCGAAGAGCAGGAGCGGCGACGTCTTCTCTCCAAGGCGGCTGGACGGCGTCGTCTTGTCATTTGTCCCACATCCACTTGTAGTCTCCACTGGTTACACAGCTGTTTTGAGTCTCATTAGCATCACATTATCTCCCCTTCAAGGGAGGTTCTTTGATGCTGGTGAGGGGCTCTTGATCTGGGGAGTTGGATCTGTGTTCCGATTCAGGGAATCGGAGCACAGATCTGACTGAATACTTTACATCTTCACCCCCCCACAGGCGCTGTGTAATCCCAAAGGATTTAGCTCCCCTATGATGATGATGATGATGATGATGATGATGATGATGATGATGATGATGATGATGATGATGATGATGATGATGATGATGATGATGATGATGATGATGATGATGATGATGATGATGATGATGATGATGATATCTGTACTGGAGTCATGTCATTCACGTATACAAGAAATTGTACTGCTCCTGTATTTGCTGTACAGCGATAATGTAGTTTACACATAACATTGTCAGGTACCTTATATAATCATAACTAGGCGCCAAACCCGTGAGGGTCGTACATATTGTTAAGTACAGAAGTCACTAATACGCAGTGCATATCGGGCAGCACTGTTTGGGAGGGCGTGTGTGTGTAGGGTGTCAGCACTGTTACTGTGTTATGAGCAGGGTGTTAGCACTGTTACTGTGTTATGAGCAGGGTGTTAACACTGTTACTGTGTTATGAGCAGGGTGTCAGCACTGTTACTGTGTTATGAGCAGGGTGTTAGCACTGTTATTTCTGGTGTTTATGAGCAGGTGTTAGCACTTACTGTGTTATGAGCAGGGTGTTAGCACTGTTACTGTGTTATGAGCAGGGTGTTAGCACTTACTGTGTTATGAGCAGGGTGTTAGCACTGTTACTGTGTTATGAGCAGGGTGTTAGCACTGTTACTGTTATGAGCAGGGTGTCAGCACTGTTACTGTGTTATGAGTAGGGTGTCAGCACTGTTACTGTGTTATGAGCAGGGTGTCAGCACTGTTACTGTGTTATGAGCAGGGTGTCAGCACTGTTACTGTGTTATGAGCAGGGTGTCAGCACTGTCACTGTGTTATGAGCAGGGTGTTAGCACTGTTACTGTGTTATGAGCAGAGTGTCAGCACTGTTACTGTGTTATGAACACGGTTTCAGCACTGTTACTGAGTTATGAACAGGGTATCAGCACTGTTACTGCGTTATGAGCAGGGTGTTAGCACTGTTACTGTGTTATGAGCAGGGTGTCAGCACTGTTACTGTGTTATGAGCAGGGTGTTAGCACTGTTACTGAGTTACGAGCAGGTTGTTAGCACTGTTACTGTGTTATGAGCAGGGTGTTAGCACTGTTACTGTGTTATGAGCAGGATGTCAGCACTGTCACTGTGTTATGAGCAGGGTGTTAGCACTGTTACTGTGTTATGAGCAGGGTGTCAGCACTGTTACTGTTATGAGCAGGGTGTCAGCACTGTTGCTGTGTTATGAGCAGTGTGTCAGCACTATTTGAGCAAGCATGCACTTGGCAGCAGCACTGTTAGGTCAGGCATGCACTGGGTAGCAACACTGTTAGGTCAGGCATGCACTGGGTAGCAACAATGTTAGGGCAGGCATGCACTGGGTACCAACACTGTTAGGGCAGACATACCTGCCTGGTGTCTACCTGGAGGGCATTCCAGGGATCAAAGCCCCCACGGCCCAGTCCATGACCAGGCCTCCCGGTGGATCAGGACCTGATCAACAAGGCTGTTACTGCTGGCTGCATGTAGTCCAACATATGAACCACAGCCCAGCAGATCCAGCACTGACTTTAGGTATCTGCCCAGTTCCCTCTTGAAGACACCCAGGGGTCTATTAATGGTAATGCCCCTTATGGCTAGTGGGAGGCTGTTGAACAGTCTTGGTCCCCGGGCACTTATTGTGTTTTCTCATAGTGTACCAGTGGCTCCCCTACTTTTCACTGGGGGTATGTTACATTGCCTGCCAAGTCTTTTGCTTTCGTAGCAGGTGATTTCTGTGTGCAAATTAGGAACCAGCCCCTCCAGAATCTTCCATGTGTAGATTATGATGTATCTCTCTTGCCTGCACTCCAGTGAGTACAAGTCAAGTGCTTTCAGGCATTCCCATTAGTTAAGGTGTTTGATGGAACTTATACGTGCAGTAAAGGTTCTCTGTACATTCTCTAGATCTGCAATTTCACCTGCCTTGAATGGCATGCACTGGGTAGCAACACTGTTAGGGAAGGCATGCATATGTATATTGTGAGGTTCATAAGGTACCAGTGTGCCAATCTGCAAGTGAAAGTAGGGAAGGGGCGCCTCACTACCCTCCCTCATATAAATAACAAAAAAGGCACAATACCGTGACTGGAACGATACACAGATAACCCGCACATAAAAGAGAGAAGCTTACGACGACGTTTCGGTCCGACTTGGACCATTGACAAAGTCACACTAACTGAAGAGTGATTCTACTCGTAAAAAGCGCTTGACTCGTTGGGGTGATACAGCGCTGATTCTTGAACGAGGAAATATTCTCACCATTTAAATCAAAGATATTTGGAAGTTTTCTTAATGTCTGCTTGTTTATGGGAGTTATTATCATTATATTCATTTTGACAATGATTATGTATGAGTGAGGTGAAAGTGTTGAATGATAATGAAAGTATTTTCTTTCTTTTTTGGGTCACCCTGCCTCGGTGGGAGACAGCTGACTTGTTAAAAAGAAAAAAAAAATCATGAGGGAAGTGCAAAACCCGTAAGGGTCACACAGTGCCTAGAAATTGGAGGTAATAGGGTTTGATTCAAGGGAGGGGTAGCACCATTACCATAGATTAAGAGCCCTCTAGCATCAAGGCATGGGCTTGGGAGGCACTCATTATCTAAGCACAATCCATGGAATTATCTTACCCCAACATCATCGATAGTTGAAAATGAGGAGCTGGGGATAGATTTCTTGCAAGACTTACCTCTTATTTTACTAAAAACACACACACACACACACACACACACACACACACACACACACACACACACACACACACACACACACACAAAACACACACACACACACACACACACACAAAGACTACAGACCTCACTCAGGAGAAAGACCTTGGGGTGACCATAACACCGAGCACATCACCGGAGGCACACATCAACCAAATAACCGCTGCAGCATACGGGCGCCTGGCAAACCTGAGAAATAGCGTTCCGATACCTTAATAAGGAATCGTTCAAGACACTGTACACTGTGTATGTTAGGCCCATACTGGAGTATGCAGCACCATCTGGAACCCACACCTGGTCAAAAACACGTCAAGAAGTTAGAGAAAGTACAAAGGTTTGAACAACAGGCTAGTCCCAGAGCTCAAGGGAATGTCGTACGAGGAAAGGTTAAGGAAATCGGACTGACGACACTGGAGGACAGAAGGGTCAGGGGAGACATGATAACGACATACAAGATACTGCAGGGAATAGACAAGGTGGACAGAGATAGGATGTTCCAGAGAGGGGACACAGGGACAAGGGGTCACAACTGGAAGCTGAAGACTCAGACGAGTCACAGGGACGTTAGGAAGTATTTCTTCAGTCATAGAGTTGTCAGCAAGTGGAATAGCCTAGCAAGTGAAGTAGTGGAGGCAGGAACCATACATAGTTTTAAGAAGAGGTATGACAAAGCTCAGGAAGCAGAGAGAGGATCCAGTAGTGATCAGTGAAGAGGCGGGGCCAGGAGCTGAGTCTCGACCCCTGCAACCACAATTAGGTGAGTACAATTAGGTGAGTACACACACACACACACACACACACACACACACACACACACACACACACACACACACACACACACACACACACACACACACACACACACACACACATTATATATTTCAATTGGTGAACTCCAAAATATTGAAGCTTTTTTTTTTTCATTCTTCCATGCTGAAACTCTAGAGCAGGCTTCTTTGTTCCAATGTATAGTATTTTATTTCAAGAACGGCAGTTGAGTTGTAGCAAGGCATGGCATACTTGGTATGGTTGGGTTATGTAACTACAGACTGCCACAAACTAGGTTGTTCCTGGCTACCATAAACAGGTTTGCTACTGGTAATACCATAGCCGTTTCTGTATACATATGCTGCTATTATTCTTAGTGTGGGCATAACATTGTCTCATAATACATAGTATATTATAATCATCTATTTTTAATTATGTATTTAAGTTTTTAATAAAGATGAGAAGGGAAGCTCTCAATTTTGATCCTTAATTTCTGACTTACTTTCATGAAATAACACTGTCATGTCTATTTTTGAGCTCCTTTATAGAGTTCGTTGTTGTTATCATTCTTCAGTTCGGTTTGGCTATTTACAACTCAGGCAAAATTAATGTTTTAGGATAACCCTGTAGCTCATTTGAGTGTGAAGATTTCTTTCACTGCTCATTTGTTTTTGTTTCCTCCCTGATATAGGGATTATTCCTCATCTAATCTGTTTATGTTAGAGATGTTTTTGTATACGTATCGTGATCATAGCTCTCAGCGGTTTTTTGTTCCTACAGTGACATGAGGTCTATTACTGGTATCCTTTTTTTATAGCTCATTCCCACAACTTGGGCACCAGTCATGATGTACACTACTATTCTGTACGTTTTCATGTTTCATTAAATGTGACATTTTCTTATTTAAATGTAATAGTATAAGAACCCATTCCCTTATATATTTATATTTTTATATATATGAATGTTTAATTGTGATATTGATAATTTACAGGGTACATAGTGGGTTGGCCTTGCTGGCTGGCGGCAGGGGTGAAGGTGGAGGTGTGGGGGGGGTATTGGGACTAGAAAGACAGGAAACCCAACGAGCACCCCCAGAGGCACTCACCTTCCTTCAGGGAGATCTTGTCCCCCATACCAACTTCACCCACACCTTCCTCAAGTCAATACTCACCTCCATCGACAGCAAGGACCCAGGTCAGAGCTTGTAGCATTGACAGATAAATTCTTATTTAGATGTACATTACCTCATCAATACAGATGTTGTATGTACTATACAAAGAATTTATGTGGTTGCATCTTAATCTTACTACTTTTCTTCCTAAGATTAAACAAAATTGCCATGAAGCATAATCTTCCCTTAGGATGTAAGTCACAACAGCTAAGTAACATCTCAGTGGACAATACACATATAACACGCACATAGGAGAATGAAACTTATGGCGATGTTACAGTCTGACTTAGATCATTAACTAGTCACACAGATGTATGAAGGGAAGGGAGCCAGAGTACATATGAGAGGGGGACATGTCTGTGTGACTGGTTAATGGTCCAAGTTGGAGTGAAATGTCGTCATAAGTTTTATTCTCCTGTGTGCGGGTTATTTGTGTATTGCTCCAGGCATGGTATTGTGCCTTTTTATTCTTTAAGTGGACATACAACAGGTGCTAGGAGACTTTCTCATACATCTTGACTCTTGACCTACTCAGGAATCAAGGCTGGAGTATCTAGCAACAAGGAACTTTATTGTTAACAATTCTTTTCATATTTCTGAGTATTTAGTCTCATAAAAAATGAAAGTATCAGCATACCATGTTTGGATCAAGCTGTAATATTCTGTATTGATTAGTCATCCATTTGCTTTTTGTACTTACGATCTTTCAGAGTTATTGGGTAAGTTTAAAATACGTATTTAGATTTTTTTTTCAACAAGTCGGCCGCCTCCCACCGAGGCAGGGTGACCCAAAAAAGAAAGAAAATCCCCAAAAAAGAAAATACTTTCATCATCATTCAACACTTTCACCACACTCACACATTATCACTGCTTTTGCAGAGGTGCTCAGAATACAACAGTTTAGAAGCATATACATATAAAGATACACAACATATCCCTCCAAACTGCCAATATCCCAAACCCCTCCTTTAAAGTGCAGGCATTGTACTTCCCATTTCCAGGACTCAAGTCCGACTATATGAAAATAACCGGTTTCCCTGAATCCCTTCACTAAATATTACCCTGCTCACACTCCAACAGATTGTCAGGTCCCAAGTATCATTCGTCTCCATTCACTCCTATCTAACACGCTCATGCACGCTTGCTGGAAGTCCAAGCCCCTCGCCCACAAAACCTCCTTTACCCCCTCTTTCCAACCCTTTCGAGGACGACCCCTACCCCTCCTTCCTTCCCCTATAGATTTATATGCTTTCCATGTCATTCTACTTTGATCCATTCTCTCTAAATGACCAAACCACCTCAACAACCCCTCTTCTGCCCTCTGACTAATACTTTTATTAAACTCCACACCTTCTCCTAATTTCCACACTCCGAATTTTCTGCATAATATTTACACCACACATTGCCCTTAGACAGGACATCTCCACTGCCTCCAACCATCTCCTCGCTGCTGCATTTACCACCCAAGCTTCACATCCATATAAGAGTGTTGGTACTACTATACTTTCATACATTCCCTTCTTTGCCTCCATAGATAACGTTTTTTGACTCCACATATACCTCAACGCACCACTCACCTTTTTTTCCCTCATCAATTCTATTTAGATAACTTTAGTAAATAATAATATTTTGTCACTTACTGGATCTTGTAATAGTGCAGTGTGGCTTAATATTTTTTTAATTTCTGTATTACCATTCACAGTGGTTGCTAATGCATGGCTGGAGACACTGCTGGATGTAATAGATCTTCTTCCCAAGGAGGTCATTAAAGATGAGGTATGTGGTCATTAATTCGTGTTGTAGAAATTAATTAGATCTGGTTTGAGAACTCCACCTACCTTTGTCCCCTTTGACTGTATGTATATTCTGTGATTTGCCTCATTGCTCATAGACCCATTTGTTGATGCAGCCACTCCCAGATATCTACATTCACTTTCTCTATACTTCCTTCCTCCAATCTGATATCCAGTCTTTCATTGCCTTTTTCTTACTCTCTTTTTTTCTGTGTGGAGTACAATATATGGCTAGGCAGACTGACTACATTATTAGAGGACACGAATATAAGCTATTTAAAAAGCAGGAGAGTTGTTTGGTTATTTGGTTAATAATAACATATATTGAAGTTCTGCTAATTGGTAGATGGTCTTTATTCTTTGACTGCCTTATAAAATTTTGAGTTCATTTTCCAAATGGTATCTCAATTAGCAATAAAAAATGAATTATAATATTTATTATACCTCATTTCTAAAAATTTTAGCACAAAAAAAGCCACTATCTTTCCAAACCTGCTGTAAATTAATTTTTTTTTTATAATATACTATACTGGTACATTTTTTCAATGATTTATTCAAAAAATATTTCATTAAGTCAGTAAGAAGCTAAAATCCTTATAAAATTTGTTTATTATATCCTTTATAGACTATTAGATTATTGGGATTTTCTTTGCAGTTTATATGCATATTTAAATTTACATGTAAATTCACCTGTACATAAATTATACTATACTGGAACAGTGTCACATACACCTTTTTTCCTTAGTACATCAGAATACTCTACACAAGTAAGAACAGTGACAGAATTAATGGTTTTAACTCTCTCTTCATAAATCATGAATTTTTGATATTTCTCCTCTGATTTTGCACAAAAAATTGTCAATACAGAAGGAGGGAGGTAGGGAAAAGTTATTGGACATTATTCAAACTCCATCTGAAAATATTTCTTCCCCCTTAAACTAAATTTCATTTCCCATTGGTAAAACTTGGGAAAAATTAGAATTTCCCAGCAAAGGGTAAAATTGTAAAGTATACCATTCAGTGACCTGCTCAGTAAGATTATTATTTATTATCCTGCTTCCGAAATTTTCATCGAGGTCGGGTATGCTAGTATTTTGAGATTCTGTATGCTGTTCCTACTATTATTGTACATTATCTTAGTAGCATCAGTAATGAATTGGACAAATGCGCACTTGCCGTAGTGATTTATAGCGTTGATAAATTTTTGCATTTTAGTTCGTTTATATAAAGGATTGCAGTACCTCCTCCTTTTTTATTAGGTCTACAGTTGTGGATGGACTTATATCCAGGTATGTTAAAAATACTGTATTGGTAAGTTCATCTTTTAGCCAAGCCTCAGTCAAGGTTATAAATGAGAATCTAGTATTTTGGGCACTCTAAAAATAAAAGGGCATTGATATCATTATGGTTGATTAGGGAGCTTGTGTGGTAGTTGGCAGGTTCAGTGCTGGACCATGATTTTCCTTCTTATGTTGGAAATTGTGAATTAGAGTAAACAAGGTACGTAAAACTAATGAATGTCCTAAATGAAACCTATACTGTACAGGATATCATTGTTTTATCTAATAGATTATAATGTAGGTGGTAGTTACTTGGCACCAATGGTGAAGATGTTACAGAAACTGTGCAAATGATAAGTGGATTACGATTAATTGGTAGAGTAGTTATGGAGAAATTTTGAGATTTCTCTCACACATAATTACGTACATATCCTTTAGTTCTGTTTTTTTTTTTTTTTTTTGTTAACTAGGATTTTGCTTTCATTGATTTAATTCAGTTAGAAGTTTTCATCTGCATATACAGTATGGTACTAATTAGCTTCTGTACATGAATAAATCATTAAGTGACTTTATTTTTTTTTATTTATTATCACACTGGCCGATTCCCACCAAGGCAGGGTGGCCCGAAAAAGAAAAACTTTCACCATCATTCACTCCATCACTGTCTTGCCAGAAGGGTGCTTTACACTACAGTTTTTAAACTGCAACATTAACACCCCTCCTTCAGAGTGCAGGCACTGTACTTCCCATCTCCAGGACTCAAGTCCGGCCTGCCGGTTTCCCTGAATCCCTTCATAAATGTTACTTTGCTCATACTCCAACAGCACGTCAAGTATTAAAAACCATTTGTCTCCATTCATTCCTATCAAACACGCTCACGCATGCCTGCTGGAAGTCCAAGCCCCTCGCACACAAAACCTCCTTTACCCCCTCCCTCATTAAAAGGAACTACTATCTAATTAGAACATTTTCCTGCGATTAGTGCAGTTGTAGTGAGTTCAACTCACAGCTAAGTGTAAGTCTCCTAACACCTGCTTCCCATTACCTAGCAGTAAATAGGTACTGTACCTGGGAGTTAGTTGACTATTTATGGTAGCATTCTGGGGGATGACCTCATTAGGGTTACTAGTCTCAATAAAGTATTTCTCTTTGGAGATCCATTCCAGTGGTCTAGAACTCTATGAAAACAGTACTTTCTAGTGTGTTTTCAGCATTGCTCTTTTTTCTTGGTCTTCATTTGTGGCCTTTTGTTATTCTCCCTGTGTGTAGTGAAAAAATTCATATCTATTGGTTTGTATTCTTTCATAATCTTATAAGTGGTTATTTGTCTCATCTGCTATCAACCCAGGTGAGACTATCATTGTTTTCAGTCTTCCTATGTCTCATATGGCCAATATTTTGCTTCTCTCGTTTTATTTTGTGGCACTTATCCTCATTACATTCTATTGTCCCTCTATGGAAGATCTGCTATCTTCTTTATCACTTAGTTTGCACAGCATTACTTATATTATTAATTTACTTTTTTATTTATTATTTTTTAAATTTTATATTACTTTAACCTCAAATATCCTTAAATTGTGTATACATAGATAACTGTCAATAATGAAATTACATAAACAGAAAAAATACATCTGGCAATGGGGTATATAGATTCATCTTGTAAATATTTGGAAACTAAATGCTTATGACGTACAATACTTGGTAGGATGGTCTGCATATTGTAAGGCTCAGAGCTGTAGTTTAGTTAACTTATGCCTTAATCTGGCATTGTCATCCTGCCTTGATCTTCTGGTTGTTTGATCATCTCTACTCACTCATGTTCTGATAATGGTCCAGGACAGCCCAGAACATTGTCCAGTTCTCATTTCTAATTCGTGAGCTTGTTGGCTTGTTCAAGCAATGGTTCTGTGGCTTTTATTCATCATATAATTTATTTTGGAGAAATATCGAATGTAGATTCGTTTCAGATAACAACTAGAAATCTGAGTGTGTGTGATATTGTTCAGTACTGAAAAATTTTCTCATGCTAATTAATTAATTATAATGTATATCATGTAGAACTGAAGCTTGTAGATGTCTCATAAACTAGCCTGTCTTTTACATAGCACCTTATTCTTTCAGATTTTAACATTGGCTGTGAGTAAGGGACAGTCACAGCAAGTGTCAGCTCGCCTGGCTGCTTGTAAACTCATTGGCAAGATAGCTACCAAGTTTGAACCATTCCTGTGAGTACTTATCTAGTTGTGTCTGTCTCTTGACAAGTTTTGAGTGCTAGAGGCTTGAACATTCAGAAGGTGTTCATGAGTGCATTAGATTTGAATTGGAAGAAAGTGGTTTTTATGACTTGACACGAAGTTGGAGTGTGAGCAAGGTAACATTTATATGAAGGGACTCAAGAAAACTGGTTAGCCAGACTTGAGTCTTGGAGGTGGGAAGTACAGTGCCTGCACTCTGAAGGAGGGGTGGGGATGTGTATTTGCAGTTTAGGAGGGCATCTGAACTGTTGTATCTACATGCCTCTGGCAAAACTGAGAGAGTGAATGATGTTGAAGGTGTTTCTTTTTTCAGGTCACCCTACCTCGGTGGGAGATGGCCAGTGTGATAAAAAAAATGTATGTTTAAAACATTATATAATACAGTGAAGTATTTGTAAAAAATGTGTTCACAAGAAAGTTTTTTAACAATGTATATCAGCATCATGACAGGTGTAAATATACTTTAGAGTGTGATTTTTTTAATCTGCTGGATAATATATATGTGATACATTCTTATTCTCAAAATTGGTTACATTATATTGTGCAGCTACTCCGTATATATGATATTTTCCAGTTGTGCTAGTTCAGAGATATGTGTTCCTCCCTTCAAGGAGGTTGCATCCATGCTGGTGAAGGGCTCTCAGTCTAAGGAACTGGAGCTGTACTTTCCTTCCTTGGATCAAACTGGAATACCTCCTGTTTCCCAGGTGCTTTATGACCCCTTTGGGTTTAGTGTTGCTGGACTTAAATAATACTGTACTAATATTTATTTTTCCTCCTTAGGTTAAAGACTGAAGTAGTTGGCGTTGTACAAAGTTTGTGTCAAGATGTCTGTGGTGAGGTTCGAGGAAGCATGTGTAGCCAGCTGGCTGCAGTGGCACGGGGTCTGGGCCTCGATGCTACCAAAACCCACATCCTTCCAGAGCTGGTGGATCTCTGCTCTGACGAGGAAACTAATGTTCGCCTGGCAGGGATAAACACAGTAGTGCTGATGATTCCCTTGCTTGATGATGGTTGGTAAGCTTTATTATGTAAAATAGTTGAAGACTTAGTATTAATCCATTCACTGTATTTAAGACCTTTTTAAATAATAGTATAATTGATAATACTTTTCTTGATCATGGTTTCAAAAACACAAAGAAGTAGTTTATTAAACTGCATTTAAGATGTCTAAAGATAAGATTAGTAAATGTAATGATAATTTTAAGTAGCAAAATTCCATATTTTAAAACAGCAAAGGTAATATAGATAATACCACAAAATTGTGTTTTCAGTTTTAGCTACAATAGAAATGTAAGTGACAATAAATGCATGAGTGTGAATAATAGAAGTCTCGATATATTACAGAGTATTTAATATTTAGATTTGATTTCTATCATTTTACATCATATTCAGGTGTTTTAAATGTGTTTTTTTTTAAGTTCATGTACTGTAATTGGCAGAAATATCTTGCAAAATCTTCTGATATGGGGTAGCATATTATTTGGGTCTTTTGTTTGCAATGGAGTTTCTACTCAGGCTAAGTTGAAAATGTGGAGCATCAAAGAGGTATCTGTTATTTATATTACATATATTCATTCTGTTGTAGCTCTCCATTGGTTTAACATTTGAACTGAGCATCCTGTCTATTTCAGTTTTCTGTCTAAGTGTATACATAAGCATTTTCCCTCTTCTTGCCTTTTGATATGTATGTTATTTACCTTTCTGTTCAAATTAATATTTTTTTGGCTTAATTGACAAATACTATGTAGAAGGTCTTTATCAGTGATGAGATGCTGTTGCTTGTAATTCAGGTTTATGCTATCTTTAATACAAATTTGAGATTTTTTAATTTTGCTTACTACATTAAGTTCAGCATTGTTTAGCAAACCATGTACTGTATTGTACTGTATATATCTTAATACCATGGACCCTTGGTTATCAGCCGTAATCCGTTCCAGAAGGTCGGCCAATAACCGAAATGGCCGAAAACCAAATTAATATTTCCATGAGAATTAATGGAAATACAATTAATCCGTCCCATACAAAAATATTTACCCCAAAAAATTTTTTTTTAACAATTATGTAAGTTTTACATACCTTTATTGAAGGCTAATACTCGCTTCTGGAAGATAGGGAAGAGGAAAGAGAGAGGAGTTAGTGCTTGGAAGGGGAATCCCCCTCCATAAAGACTTTAGGTAGCAAAGCCTTCTCTGGGGTTACTTCCCTTCTTTGTCTTTTAATGCTACAATGACCAGCTTGAGAGTCACTGGACCCCTGTCTCACAACAAATCTGTCCATAGAGGTCTGTTTGTGGCATCTCTTTAAGATTTCCCTGAAGTGGGACAGAGTTTTGTCACTGAACATGTTCCAGATATGGCTTCAGTTTGGTCAGGGTAGTGTTTCTCTACAAAAGCTTGCACCCTAGTCCACATTGCACACACCTCTTTAATCTGTCATTTACTGCTACAGTACATTCATTACTAACCTTAAAATACATATTTGTAGTCTTAATGTAGGGCAAGAGGTGAGTAGTATTTATTTGTAGGAAGTCAGTGTAGGTAGCAGTAGATGTAGGTACAGTACATGTATGTGGCCCCCCCTCCCTGGGCTACACTACACAGCAATATTACAATACACAGCCATATTATTACACTACACAGCCATATTATTACCATGTTCACTGAGTTTAATCATTTCTAACGACTACCTTTAGATGCCATCATAAACAAAGGGAGAGGTAATGAATAATTCATGCCAAGAATTGTAAACAAACACATGTGAGAGGCGGTTACTGCACCAGTCGCCAGATTTACAGTTTTCTCTAACGCTGTATCAGAGAAAACGTAATGTTTACTAACCATCCGACTCTCCACTCGATAACATATAAACATTGCATATTTATATGCTTTGTTTATATGCTACATATGTAACGTGTTTCTTATATAATTTTGAAGAAAATATCATTGATGGAATAAGTTTACTGAGTATACCAGGAAAAGTGTATGGTAGGGTTATAATTGAAAGAATTAGAGGTAAGACAGAATGTAGGATTGCGGATGAGCAAGGAGGTTTCAGAGTGGGTAGGGGATGTGTAGATCAAGCGTTTACATTGAAGCATATATGTGAACAGTATTTAGATAAAGGTAGGGAAGTTTTTATTGCATTTATAGATTTAGAAAAGGCATATGATAGAGTGGATAGGGGAGCAATGTGGCAGATGTTGCGAGTACACCTACCATCCGACTTACGACCTGCTCGACATACAACGACTAGACTTACGACCGTGTTTTTTATGCCAAATTTCTGGGAAATAAACGAGTGCTTGTGTTGTACACAATGTTTATCCCAAACCTTACAGTATAAAATACAGTACTAAGAGCATAAAAAGTAAAGTAAAACATGAAATACCAAAATAAAACAATAAAATAAAGTCATTACAAAAATGTTATGTTGATATTCAGTAGTAAAGTTCAACTTACGTCCATTTCGGCTTACGACCGGTGTCTCAGAACTGAACTCGGTCGTAAGTCAGATGGTAGGTGTATATGGAATAGGTGGTAAGTTATTAAATGCTGGAAAGAGTTTTTATGAGGATAGTGAGGCTCAGGTTAGGGTGTGTAGAAGAGAGGGAGACTACTTTCTGGTAAAAGTAGGTCTTAGACAGGGATGTGTAATGTCACCATGGTTGTTTAATATATTTATAGAAGTAAATGTTAGGGTGTTTGGGAGAGGGGTGGGATTAAATTATGGGGAATCAGATACAAAATGGGAATTGAAACATTTGCTTTTTGCTGATGATACTGTGCTTATGGGAGATTCTAAAGAAAAATTACAAAGGTTATGTGGACGAGTTTGGGAGTGTGTGTAAAGGAAGAAAGTTGAAAGTGAACATAGAAAAGAGTTAGGTGATGAGGGTATCAAATGATATAGATAAAGAAAAATTGGATATCAAATTGGGGAGGAGGAGTATGGAAGAAGCGAATGTTTTCAGATGCTTGAGAGTTGACGTATCGGCGGATGGATTTATGAAGGATGAGGTTAATCATAGAATTGATGAGGGAAAAAAGGTGAGTGGTGCATTGAGGTATATGTGGAGACAAAAAATGTTATCTATGGAGGCAAAGAAGGGAATGTATGAAAGTATAGTAGTACCAACACTCTTATATGGGTGTGAAGCTTGGGTTGTGAATGCAGCAGCGAGGAGGTGGTTGGAGACAGTGGAGATGTCCTGTCTAAGGGCAGTGTGTGGTGTAAATATGATGCAGAAAATTCAGAGTGTGGAAATTAGGAGGTGTGGAGTTAATAAAAGTATTAGTCAGAGGGCTGAAGAGGGGTTGTTGAGGTGGTTTGGTCATTTAGAGAGAATGGATCAAAGTAGAATGACATGGAGAGCATTTAAATCTGTAGGGGAAGGAAGGTGGGGTAGGGGTCATCCTCGAAAAGGTTGGAAGGAAGGGGTAAGGGAGGTTTTGTGGGCGAGGGGCTTGGACTTCCAGCAGGCGTGTGTGAGTGTGTTCGATAGGGGTGAATGGAGACGAATGGTATTTTGGGACCTGACGATCTGTTGGAGTGTGAGCAGGGTAATATTTAGTGAAGGGATCCAGGGAAACTGGTTATTTTTATATAGCCAGACTTGAGTCCTGGAAATGCTGGAAATGCCTGCACTCTAAAGGAGGGGTTCGGGATATGGCAGTTTGGAGGGATATGTTGTGTATCTTTACACCTATATGCTTCTAAGCTGTTGTGTTCTGAGCATCTCTGCAAAAACAGTGATTATGTGTGAGTGAGGTGAAAGAGTTGAATGATGATGAAAGTATTTTCTTTTTGGGATTTTCTTTCTTTTTGGGTCACCCTGCCTCAGTGGGAGATGGCTGAATTGTTAAAAAAAAAAATCGTTGATGGATTAATGAAAATGTCTATATTAACGTAAAATAAGACATTTAATGTGTCAAAGAGTGATTATTAAATATACATCACATATAATAAACATTGCATGTTTATATGCTATGTAACATGTTTCTTACATAATTTTGAAGAAAATATCATGATGGATTAATGAAAATGTCTGTATTAATGTAAAATAAGACATTTAATGTGGCAAAGAGTGATTATGAAATATACATCCCATATAATAAACATTGCATGTTTATATGCTATGTAACATGTTTCTTATATAATTTTGAAGAAGATATAATGGATGGATTAATGAAAATGTCTATATTAACATAAAATAAGACATTTAATATACCAGTGATAATTATTAAATATACAATGCATATAAACATTACATGTTTTCATATACTATGTAAAGTATTTCTTTGGGCCCATGGTTGCTTATTTTGCAGTTGTACTCAATCAATAACCACAAAAAATAATGGATTATAGCAAAATGAATGAGCAGAAACTTCCTCACTCGCCCAGAGACAAAGCCAAACTGACTCGCAAGCGGCCCCAGCTGGCAATGGACGCCTCCCAAATGGCTGATAACCGAATTAACGGCCGATAACCGGGCGCCGAAAAACCGGCCAATAACCAAGTTGGCCGATAACTGAACTGGCCGATAACTGGGGGTCCACTGTATTTTATAGATTTTTTTTTTTTTTTAAGAAAAAATTCTAATCCTTGTCTTAATTTGCTTAAATATGCAGTATATTTGCAGAGAGCATGCATAGTTCCTTTGTATAAAGGCAAAGGGGATAAAAGAGAGTGCAAAAATTATAGGGGGATAAGTCTGCTAAGTATACCTGGTAAAGTGTATGGTAGAGTTATTATTGAAAGAATTAAGAGTAAGATGGAGAATAGGATAGCAGATGAACAAGGAGGCTTTAGGAAAGGTAGGGGGTGTGTGGACCAGGTGTTTACAGTGAAACATATAAGTGAACAGTATTTAGATAAGGCTAAAGAGGTCTTTGTGGCATTTATGGATTTGGAAAAGGCGTATGACAGGGTGGATAGGGGGGCAATGTGGCAGATGTTGCAAGTGTATGGTGTAGGAGGTAGGTTACTGAAAGCAGTGAAGAGTTTTTACGAGGATAGTGAGGCTCAAGTTAGAGTATGTAGGAAAGAGGGAAATTATTTCCCAGTAAAAGTAGGCCTTAGACAAGGATGTGTGATGTCACCGTGGTTGTTTAATATATTTATAGATGGGGTTGTAAGAGAAGTAAATGCGAGGTCTTGACAAGAGGCGTGGAGTTAAAAGATAAAGAATCACACACAAAGTGGAGTTGTCACAGCTGCTCTTTGCTGATGACACTGTGCTCTTGGGAGATTCTGAAGGGAAGTTGCAGAGATTGGTGGATGAATTTGGTAGGGTGTGCAAAAGAAGAAAATTAAAGGTGAATACAGGAAAGAGTAAGGTTATGAGGATAACAAAAAGATTAGGCAATGAAAGATTGAATATCAGATTGGAGGGAGAGAGTATGGAGGAGGTGAATGTATTCAGATATTTGGGAGTGGACGTGTCAGCGGATGGGTCTATGAAAGATGAGGTGAATCATAGAATTGATGAGGGAAAAAGAGTGAGTGGTACACTTAGGAGTCTGTGGAGACAAAGAACTTTGTCCTTGGAGGCAAAGAGGGGAATGTATGAGAGTATAGTTTTACCAACGCTCTTATATGGGTGTGAAGCATGGGTGATGAATGTTGCAGCGAGGAGAAGGCTGGAGGCAGTGGAGATGTCATGTCTGAGGGCAATGTGTGGTGTGAATATAATGCAGAGAATTCGTAGTTTGGAAGTTAGGAGGAGGTGCGGGATTACCAAAACTGTTGTCCAGAGGCTGAGGAAGGGTTGTTGAGGTGGTTCGGACATGTAGAGAGAATGGAGCGAAACAGAATGACTTCAAGAGTGTATCAGTTTGTAGTGGAAGGAAGGCAGGGTATGGGGTCCGGCCTAGGAAAGGTTGGAGAGAGGGGGTAAAGGAGGTTTTGTGTGCGAGGGGCTTGGACTTCCAGCAGGTATGCATGAGCGTGTTTGATAGGAGTGAATGGAGACAAATGGTTTTTAATACTTGACGTGCTGTTGGAGTGTGAGCAAAGTAACATTTATGAAGGGGTTCAGGGAAACCGGCAGGCCGGACTTGAGTCCTGGAGATGGGAAGTACAGTGCCTGCACTCTGAAGGAGGGGTGTTAATGTTGCAGTTTAAAAACTGTAGTGTAAAGCACCCTTCTGGCAAGACAGTGATGGAGTGAATGATGGTGAAAGTTTTTCTTTTTCGGGCCACCCTGCCTTGGTGGGAATCGGCCAGTGTGATAATAATAAAAAATTTATCATTATTATTAGGTATCCCTATAGGGGGTTCAGTGAGTGTTTTTTCCCCCTCTCTTTCAAATTTGATGTCCATTATTTATACTTGGAATTGAACATTATGTTATGAAAATGAAAAACTGTCCTCTTATTCTGATACATAATTTCTAATATTTTCAAATTCAGTTCATTTAGTTTCAGTTAGAACCACATTAACCAGTTTCCTTTTTATTTGTAATACCACATCTATTTTTGTATACAAATTCTTCATAATTTTGTTAGTCTCGTGTTGTACTACTAGCAGTTTTCATTTGATTTTACTCTATAGATAATTTCATTGTATGATACTTCTAGTGCTGTACGCCTACATGCACTTCCTGTATTGAAATGTTTAAGACCAGAAAAAATGGGCAAAATCTATTTTTTTTTAATTAATTTTCCCAACAGAAACTCGAGTTGGAACACTAGTTCCTCTTGTACGGAAGGTGTGTGAGCGAGCGCTCAGGGTGGAGGATGCATCCTTGCCTGTAACTGCACATCTCTTGGGACGCATATGCCATGGACTTCATGGTGAGTTGTTAATACTGTGCATGTCTTTTTATTTTTTAACACATTGGCCATTTCCCACCAAGGCAGGATGTTCCAGAAAAGAAGAAACTTTCATCATCACTCACTCCATCACTGTCTTGCCAGAGGCATGCCTACACTACAGTTCAACACTGCAGCATATCTCCACCCTTCCTTCAGAATGCAGGCACTGTTCTTAGCACCTCCAGGACTCGAGTCTGACTAACAGGTTTCCCTGAATCCCTTCATAAATGTTATTTTGCTCACACATCAAAAGTTAAATCAAACAAGTTATGTGTAGATGGCTGTGCTTTAATGTGCTGATGAGTGATTCCTTGATGCTAGCAAACCTAACATAAACTTATTTCCAATGAGTGGTTTCATTTTCTGTAAATTCTGTATTTAAATCTTTTAAAAATGGGTAGGGATGTTGCACCTCAGAAAGTCATATAGACCATGATGTCTGTGAGTTTCTGAAAAGACATCTATAGAGTGAATGTGTTTTTCTTCTTTTGGTCATCCTGCCTTGGTGGAAAAAGGCTGGTGTTATAAAATTTTTAATTTGTAAATTTCTTATTGTTTTTCTTGCACAGAAGCAAAAAGCATTAACTTTAAATACTTGTTAGCTGAACAATTGAAACCTGAAATTTAGGGTCTTTGTATTTCCATCGTTTTTACTGAAGGGCATCTTGCAGATACCTTCACTTATTCACAAGTTTATTAATGGTGCCCATTTTTCTGGGCTTTGTGAATGATGCTAAAATTGGAAACTAACCATAAGCTTTTGTTTAAAATGTTTTCAATGTTTTCTCGTGATTTAAGCTCTTTATTTTTTTTCCCCTAGATATTCTCTTTTATGAATACGTATCAATATTTTATAGCAATATTAGAAGAGTCTTTGAAAAAAAATTAAAGGGTTATGATCTCTAAAGCAGAAAATGAGCCCAAATCTGAAGCAAAATACAGTGGACCCTCGACTAGCGATCAGCTCCCAACTCGGCCAGTTATGTAAGTGTATTTTTGTAAGTGCTTTTGTACGTGAATTTTTGGGGGTCTGAAACAGACTAATCTATTTCACAATATTCCTTATGGGAACAAATTCGATTGGTAACGGCACCCGAACAGACGTCTGAAATGAAATAATATCATTAGTCGAGGGTCCACTGTATTTCCTTTAGATGGAATTTTGTATTACGTGTGAGATTAGTTTTCATGAGGATTCTAGGAGTGTAACCCGTGCAGATTTTTGGGTTTGATTGTGTTTCCAAATTAGAAATAGTATTAGGAGGTATACTCATATAACCTGCACATAGGAGAAAGAAGCTTCATGAAGACATTTCGGTCTGATTTGGAACAAAACATCGTCTAAAAGTTTCTCTCTCCTCTGTGCAGGTCATTTGTGTATTGTTCCAGCCATGGTATTGTGCCTTTGTGTTCTTTATTAGAAAGGATAGTGTTTTAAAGATAAGTACAAGAAGTTATCAGAGCTTTGCCATTTCTGCATTTCTGCACTTTTTAAATACTGTACACAACAATTTTTTTTGAACTGTAGTATAGGCATTCCTCTTGCAAGACAGTGATGGCATGAATGATGATGAAAGTGTTTCTTCTTTTTTGAGTCACCCTCTCTTGGTGGGAAACGGCTAATGTGTAAATAAAAAATAACAAAATTATTACTGTTTCAGTATGGTAATACTGTACTGTACTTTTCAATCATTTTGTGTTTACTTTTTCTTTGTATAATTAGAATTGTATAATTGGAGGGAGGGGGTAAAGGAGGTTTTGTGGGCGAGGGGCTTGGACTTCCAGCAAGCGTGCGTAAGCGTGTTAAATAGGAGTGAATGGAGATGAATGGTATTTGGGACCTGACGAGCTGTTGGAGTGTGAGCAGGGTAATATTTAGTGAAGGGATTCAAGGAAACCGGTTATTTTATAAAGCCGGGCTTGAGTCCTGGAAATGGGAAGTACAGTGCATGCACTTTAAAGGAGGGGTTTAGGATATTGGCAGTTTGGAGGGATGTGTTGTGTATCTTTATATGTATATACTTCTAAACTGTTGTATTCTGAGCACCTCTGCAAAAACAGTGATTATGTGTGAGTGAGGTGAAAGTGTTGAATGATGATGAAAGTATTTTCCTTTTGGGGATTTTCTTTCTTTTTGGGTCACCCTGCCTCGGTGGGAGACGGCTGACTTGTTAAAAAAAAAAAAATTAGAGCGATTGTGTTAAGGAATATACAACCTTTCTTCACTTAGCGACATACTCGTTTACCGACGACTCGGACTTATGATGGGCTCTCTGACCAGTATGCATACCTAAACAATGTATGTTAGAGCTGATTTTCTCTATTCCGTTTATTACTATATACAGTGCACTATTGTATAAACATTTAAAAATATACCAGAAATGTTGTAAATGGTGCAAAGGTGACACTAAAGCAATATCAGAGATGGTTGACACAAACCCACTACCATTATAGTATGCTCCTCACTTAGCGATGAATTTGTTTACTGACGTGGTCTTAGGAATGGAACTCTGTCATTAAGTGAGGAGAGGCTGTATATGTGTTTTTCATTTATAGGAAATGTTAAAACTAGACTTTTTTTTTTTTGATGAACTGACCATATTCCACTGAGGCAGGGTGGCCTAAAAAGAAAAGCAAGTTTCTCTTTTTAAATTTATTAATACAGTAGACTGTTATTGAACATGGTAGTTACGTTCCTGAAAACACCGTGTTAGGTAAAAACCGTGTTAGATGAACTGAAGAACTTATGGGAAAAATAGGGTTACGTTCCTGAGAGCCCCAAAAAAGCCAAACAACTTATTTTAGGCCTCCACATCTTATAAACATAAAAGTGAATATGTAATTGCAGTTCATTGTTGTGATGTATTATGTTGTTTTTACTGCTTAAGACTACAAATGTAACAGAAATAATAGTATTTCTTACCCTAAATTGTGGGTGCTGGTGTTTGTGGATGATTGTGAAGAGAGTGGAGAGTTATGTTGTGGCCCTACTGGGCTGAGGTGGATGGTAGAGGTTCTGGTACTGAAGTTGGTGTTTGTACTTGAGTGTCTAACTTTGTCATTCAGTCCACATCATTCAGTAAATCAGTCAAGTCATTCAATAAGTCAGTCAAGTTGTTCAGTAAGTCAGTCAAGTTGTTCAGTAAGTCAGTCAAGGGATTCAGTAAGTCAGTCAAGTGATTCAGTAAGTCAGTCAAGTGATTCAGTAAGTCAGTCAAGTGATTCAGTAAGTCAAGTCATTCAGTAAGTCAGACAAGTCATTCAGTAAGTCATTCAGTAAGTCAGACAAGTCATTCAGTAAGTCAAGTTGTTCAGTAAGTCAGTCAAGTCGTTCAGTAAGTCAGGTCATTCACTAAGTCAGTCAGGCCATTCAGTAAGTCAGTCAAATCATTCAGTAAGTCAAGTTCAGTAAGCCAGTCAAGTCATTCAGTAAGTCAATCAAGTTGTTCAGTAAATCAGTCAAGTCATTCAGTAAGTCAGGTCATTCAGTAAGTCAGTCAAATCATTCAGTAAGTGAGTCAAGTCACTTAGTAAGTCAGTCATTCAGTCAGTCATTCAGTAAGTCAGTCATTCAGTAAGTCAGTCAGTCATTCAGCAAGTCAGTCAGGTCATTCAGTAAGTCAGTCAAATCATTCAGTAAGCCAGACAAGTCACTCAGTAAGTCAAGTCACTCAGTAAGTCAGTCACTCAGTAAGTCAGTCACTCAGTAAGTCAGTCATTCAGTAAGTCAGTCATTCAGTAAGTCAGTCATTCAGTAAGTCAGTCATTCAGTAAGTCAGTCATTCAGTAAGTCAGTCATTCAGTAAGTCAGTCATTCAGTAAGTCAGTCATTCAGTAAGTCAGCCAGTCACACAAACTTATGTTTTCCTCTTTTTTATGTGTACAAAGTAACGCTTTATTATGGCCACAGGATGTCTTATCTAATATCTTTGTTTCCTTCGTTAATTCTAAGACTTAAATGCTTGCACCTTTTCTTGCCACTTTGAGCAACACTGGTATACCTTCTGGGTATCATGATTGCTTGGCAGATACAAGATATAGTAATTAAAAGATTAAAACACAATTCACAATCACAAGCTTGTAGCAGAGAAGTTGGACTGGACATGTATGAAGTACAAATGCTGGGATGGTGGGGTGGTGTAGGGGGGTGGCTGGGGATGGCGGGAGGTCTCTCCCGCAGATCCACAACAAGGCAGCCGCTTGAGGAAAAGCGAAGTGAATTTTTTGGACCAGCCTTTGCTGGCCTTAAATTCACCTACATCAGCACTTGTTTCAGGCAGTTTCTTTATGAGATCATCATGCAACTGCCTTGCCTTTTCACAAATTATAGACTGCACAACACTATCCCCTGCTAATTCTTTCTCTCTGATCCACACCAACAACAATTTCTCCACTTCTTCAATTGTTTGGGATCTCTGTTTGGTTATCGCAATCACCCCTTTCGCAACATCAGCTTCCATGATTTCTTTTCTCTTTGCCACAATGGAGCTGATTGTTGATGGCGACTTCCCGTACATCCTGCTGAGTTCAGCAATGTGTATGCCACTATCATATTTTCTTAGGATTTCTTTTTTCAGTTTTGCGGTGTTCCTCACTTTCTTTACCAAAGCACTGGCACTAGGAGCTTTCTTTGGGGCCATGGTCGCTTACTTAGCAGTCACACACAATAAACAAGTGGCAAAAACAATGGATTACATATTATGAAATGTTTCGTATGACCTGGCAGGATATGTTCACTCGCTGAGAAACAATGCTACACTGGCTGAGTATGCGTGTGGGAGGCGGCTTTGTTTGCATGTTGGGCACTGGACAGGTTCCATACAATTGAAAATGGAGGTAATCTACGAAAACGGAACCAAAAAATCAACGAAAAAAGTCGGCCAAAACCGAAATCAGCGATAACGGAGATCGACAAAAACGGAGGGTCCACTCTATATACAGTGGACCCCTGGTATTCGAGGGCATCGGTATACGTTAAATTCGGTATTCGAGACATTTTAACGCTAAAATTTTGCCTCGCCACTTGTTAAAAAACCTGCCACACGCGATTCGTCCAGGACGCGTCCACGTGAGTGCCAGTGTTTACAAGCCAACCAGTGTGCTCGCATATAAGCATACATTCGGTACATTCCATATTATCACAGTGTTTTTGGTGCTTGTTTCTGCAAAATAAGTCACCATGGGCCTCAAGAAAGCTTCTAGTGCCAGCCCTGTGGTAAAAAGGGTGAAAATTAGTATGGAAATTAACCCTTTGAGGGTTCGTCCCGTAGATCTACGGCTTTACGTTCAGGGTCCAAACCGTAGATCTACGTCATGAGCTCAGCTCACTCTGATAAACTGTGAGTGGTACATTTGGGCCTAGATATGAGAGAATACATCTATGTGGTATGTGTGCACCACATAAAACAGATCCTGCAGCACGCTGTGTATAATGAGAGAAAAAACTGAAATCATGATTTTTCGATTAAAACAGAGACTTTGCAGTGTTTTTTTGTATGTTTTTTATAGTTGTATTTGTGATTTCTTGGTCTCATTCGATAGAATGGAAGACATATTACAGAAATAAAGATGATTTTGATTGGTTTTAGCACTGGAAATGGCTTGAAACTGAGCTCAAAGTAGCAGAAATGTTAAATTTTTGCCGATATTCAAGAGTAAACAAACGACCTCGCATGTCTAATACACGCCAGCTGGTGGGTCTAATGTGCATTCACAAATATGGTGATGATATTTATACAATTATTACAGTATTGCATAACAGTAAATCTTCTATTTTTTGGTGTGAATAAAAATTCATTATGTGAATAAAAAATCAAAATGGTATTTATTTGTAAAGCCTCAAAACGTAACTAATGAACAGAGGAAATGTTAGTTTAGCTCCAGGAATACCTACATTGTTTATTCTGGACCCTATTTTGAAATTGGAATATTTTGAACTTTGTGTAAAATTGGCCAAATTAACAATTTCTGATCACTTTAATTTGTAGTTGAAACAGTTGACTTGGCGATTTCTTGTGCTCAATCGATAGAATAGAAGTAATACTAGTGAAATAGCTAAGAATTTGGTTGACTGGAATAATGTAATTGGCCTAAAATGGGAGTCAAAGTCGGCAAATTCGCCGATTCGTAAATATCGCTGACACATCAAAATTCGCGAGAGCATAATTTCGTCAATTTTCCATCAAATTTCGTACTTTTTGTTTTATTACCTTCACAAAAAGATGCTCTACCATTTCACAAGAAAAAATAACAAATTTTTTTTTTTTAAATTCTTGGACACTGGGGCACCACTTCAGATTTGGGCCTTGGACCCTGAAGGGGTTAAGAAAGATTTTGAAGGGTTTGGGGCTAACCCTGAGAAGCCTATGCCAGTGGTGGAATCCATTGTGCCTACTTCAAAAATTAAGGAAATGTGTGCAAAGTGGGCTGAACTGCAAACCTTTATATAAGGATGAAAATCACCCTAACACAGCTATTGCAAGCCGTGTTGGTGACTATTACAATGACAATGTTGTGGCCCATTTTAGACAAATCGTAAAGGAACAGATTTGTTGTGTGACAGAGGTCTAGTGACTCTCAAGCTGGTCCTAGTGGCATTAAAAGAAGAAGGGAAGTAACCCCGGAAAAGGACTTGCTACCTCAAGTCCTAATGGAAGGGGATTCCCCTTCTAAACAATAATTCGACACTCTCCCCTCCTCCCATCCCATCAATCATCACCAGATCTTCATTAAAGGTAAGTGTCATGTATTCTATTGTTAGTAGAGTACTACTAACTGTGCATGTCTTCTTCAGTTTGTGTGCATTAAACTTAATATTTCATGTGGTAAAACTTTTTTTTTCATAGTACTTTTGGGTGTCTTGCACGGATTAATTTGATTTCCGTTATTTCTTATGGGGAAAATTAATTCGCCTTCCGATAATTTTGGCATACGATGAGCTCTCAGGAACGGATTAATATCGTATACCGGGGGTCCACTACGGGAGAAGGGGTTACTAACCCCTTGCTCCTGGCATTTTAGTTGCTTCTTACAACATGCATGGAAAACTAGATGTGTGTAGTCTTAATAAATTTCCATGGTTTCAGATGAACTGACTGAAGAACAGAAGAGCTGGTTCCTGAATTTCTACTGCACACTTGCAAAGCTGGGCCTTCCTGACTCCAAGAAGACTGAGCTTCCGGTAAAAATATATGTTTATGAGTTTTCTCTAGCACCAGTTAGAAATGTTGTTGCATGATGACTTTTGAATTTCAGCTAGTCTGTAGTTAGTCTATGTATGATAATTTTAAGTTCAAAATTTAGACTTTAATTTTAGTCTGTCTGAAATGTACTATGAGCCTTTCTTCATAAGAAACTAACAGTATTAATATAAACTAAATTTTATCACAAATGTACTTTCTTGGAACATTAATATTATATTTTTATTTTATTTTATTTTATGAATGAGGAGTCTGTGTTGGCAGTGTTCTCTGTGGCAGAGCATCACTATACTGGATAAGCCTTTATGTAGAGACAGACTAAATAGCTCTAAATGTATGTTTTGCATTTTTTTTTTTATATTGATAACCCTCTGGAAATGTATCAGAACATTTCCATGCACAGTACGTATAGATCTTAGGACTGGTATATTTCACTGACAATTCCAGTTCTAATATCAAGTTCTGTACTTATTGAGCATTTTATAGCAAGGTTAATATTGTACATTTTTAAAGAAAAAATCGAAGGTTTGGTCTTTAACCTTTCACTGTTGCAACCCCAAAAATTAAAAAGGCTGACAGTGTCGTAATTTTTCAAGATTTTTTTTATCATCTGAAATGATAGAGAATTATTTTCTGAAAGTAATGAAACCAAAAATTTGAAATTTATTGGATAACTTATGGAATTACTTAAACACAAAGTTGGCGATCTGAGTGCAATTTACGCATCCATGATTTCTCTCATTTTGAGTTCTAGTTTCAGCCAGTTCTGTTGCTCAGTTCACCCAGTTTCTGGGGTATTTCTCTAGTATGAATTTTGTTCTATCAATTAAACACAAGATACTGCCCATTCAGTGCCCATAAGTCAGCAATTTAGTAATTTTACACAGTTCAACAATTTATTTTATTTTTTTAAAACAAATTCTGGTTTAAAAAAGAATCTAAAATAAACACTGCAGGCATTCCAGCCACTAAAGCAACAATTCCTCTGTTCGTTAATCATGTCCCCAAGGCCTCTCCTATATAGCAGTTGCCTTCCATTTTAAATCCATCATCATATAATAAATCAAGTTTTACCCCATTTCAACTTCAGCTCATGACCAGAGCTTTGGTAAGAAGGGTAAGGAAGAAGGATGGGTAAGAATAGGAATATGAGAAAAGGGTGGGAGGGGGAATGAGGTAGGATACAAAAGGGAAGTGGCCCAACTACTTTGTTACCCCATTTCTTGGATCATAAAATATCGAAATAAAGTTAAAGGAATCTTACAGGAGCCAAGATACACCGGAAGAACTAAAAGCCATAAATGAAATTAAAAGAAACCCAAAATATTTCTTTTCTTATGCCAAGTCAAAGTCAAGAGCAACATCCAGTATTGAGCCCTTACTTAAACGAGATGGGTCCTTCACAGATGACAGCAAGGAAATGAATGAGCTACTCAAGTCCCAACATGACTCAGTTTTTAGCAAGCCGCTAACCAGACTGAGAGTCGATGACCTAAATGAATTTTTATGAGAGAGAGACAGAATTTGGTAGACTCGAACCTATCTGATATTATCCTGATGCCAGATGACTTCGAAAAGGTGATAAATGATATGCCCATGCACTCTGCCCCAGACCCAGACTCATGGAACTGTGTTCATCAAGAACTGCAAGAAGCCCCTATATGTGCTTTTAACATCCTATGGAGAGGGAGCATGGACACGGGTCGTCCCACAGCTGCTAAAAAAACAGATATAGCCCCACTCCACAAAGGGGGCAATAAAGCAATAGCAAAGAACTACAGACCAATAGTGCTAATGTCCCATATCATAAAAATCTTTGAAAGGGTTCTAAGAAGCAAGATCGCCACCCTTCTAGTTACCCATCAGTTACACAACCCAGGGCAACATGGGTTTAGAGCAGGTCACTCCTGCTGTCCCAGCTACTGGACCACTATGACAAGGTCCTGGATGCTCTAGAAGACAAACAAAATGCAGATGTAGTATACACAGACTTTGCAAAGGCCTTTAACAAGTGCGACCATGGTGTAATAGTGCACAAAATGCATAATAAAGGAATAACAGGAAAAGTTGGTAGATGGATCTATAATTTCCTAACAAATAGAACACAAAGAGTAACAGTAAACAGAGTAAATTCTGAGGCAGCTACTGTGAAAAGCTCTGTTCCACAAGGCACAGTACTCGCTCCCATCCTGTTCCTCATCCTCATATCTGACATAGACAGGGATGTAAGCCACGGCACAGTGTCTTCCTCTGCTGATGACACCCGAATTTGCATGACAGTGTCCTCCATTGAAGACACTGCAAGACTCCAGGTGGACATCAACCAAATATTTAAATGGGCCACGGAAAACAATATGAAGTTCAATGATGAGAAATTTCAATTATGTACTCCGATATGGAAAATGTGAGGAAATTAAAACTATATCGGATTTTAAAACAAATTCCAACCACACAATAGAGTGAAAAACTAATGTAAAAGATTTGGAAGTGATAATGTCATAGGATCTCACCTTCAAAGACCATGACAATGTATCAATCGCATCTGCTAGAAAAATAACATGATGGATAATGAGAACCTTCAATACTAGGGATGCCAAGCCCATGATAACACACTTCAGGTCGCTTGTTCTATCTAGGCTGGAATATTGCTGCACACTAGGGGTGGCTCGTCCATAGGACTTCATCAACCTTATGGTAAAATAATTTGCAACTGACAAATATATTACAGGAAAAATCTGTTGTATGTTGTTTTCTATGTATTTATAAGTGAATTTTTATTTTTGTTTTTTGTTGAAATGAGATAAAAATGATTAAAAATAGAAGTTTGATGCGGTACGATAGTATAGGTATTACTGGCGCTACAAGCTGCTACTGCTGCACACTAACAGTACCTGTCAGAGAATCTAGCATGGCACACATAACTGCGATAAAACACCTAAATTACTGGAAATGCTTGAAGTTCCTCAACCTGTACTCCCTAGAATGCAGGCAGGAGAGATACATGATTATATACACTTGGAAAATCCTAGAGGGATTAGTTCCAAACTTGCACATGAAAATTGGTCCCTATGAAAGCAAAAGACTTGGCAGATGATGCAACATCCCCGCAGTGAAAAGCAGGGGTGCCACTAGCACGATAAGAGACAACACAATAAATGTCAGGGTCCCAATCTGTGCAATTGCCTTCCTGCATACATAAGAGGGATTACCAGTAGACCCCTGACTTTCTTCAAGAGGGTTCTGGACAGGTACCTAAAGTCGGTACCTGACCAGCTGGGCTGTGGTTCGTACGTCGGGTTGCATAATGGATAATGGATAATGAGAACCTTCAAAACTAGGGATGCCAAGCCCATGATGACACTCTTCAGGCTGGAATATTGCTGCACACTAACAGCAACTTTCAAGGCAGGTGAAATTGCTGACCTAGAAAATGTACAGAGAACCTTCACGGCGCGCATAACGGAGATAAAACACCTAAATTACTGGGAGCACTTGAGGTTCCTGAACCTGTATTCCCTGGAATGCAGGCGGGAGAGATACATGATTATATACACCTGGAAAATCCTAGAGGGACTAGTACCGAACTTGCACACAAAAATCACTCACTACGAAAGCAAAAGACTCGGCAGACGATGCAACATCCCCCCAATAAAAAGCAGGGGTGTCACTAGCACGTTGAGAGACCATACAATAAGTGTCAGGGGCCCGACTCTGTTCAACTGCCTCCCAGCATACATAAGGGGGATTACCAACAGACCCCTGGCAGTCTTCAAGCTGGCACTGGACAAGCACCTAAAGTCGGTTCCTGACCAGCCGGGCTGTGGCTCGTACGTTGGTTTGCGTGCAGCCAGCAGTAACAACCTGGTTGATCAGGCTCTGATCCACCAGGAGGCCTGGTCACAGACCGGGCCACGGGGGCGTTGACCCCCGGAACTCTCTCCAGGTAAACTCCAGGCATCCAGCCAACAGCAACAGCCTGGTTGATCAGGCCATGATCCACCATGAAGCCTGGTCACAGACCGGGCTGCAGGGGCGTTGACCCCCAAAACCCTCTCCAGGTATACTCCAGGCATGGTTTAGGTCATTTTCAATAATTGAAGCAGATCTAATAAAAGCCCATAAAACAGACAGGGAAGGGGAATAGGGAGGCCCTACCATACCTCAGGAAAATTGATACCAAGAAACAGCCAATGGAACCATAAAAACCACCTCAGATTCACTGTTTTAACCCAAACACATGGTCAGAATTTTGCTCTTCCCATCATGCACCTCATGTGGCAGGATTGTTCTTTAAAATGTGCACACCTACCTCACAGGCCCATTCTCTCATGTCTAGGCCAAAATTTATTTCTCACTGCCTATTTGAGAGCGGTGTGCTTGAAATTTAGATCTACATGAGCAGCCCTGGCATAAGTAACTTAGTTCTATGTAGGAGACAGTGAAAAGGTTAATCTATACATTAAAACATAAATTTTATGGACATGAGTGAAAGTGTAGAATATATTTAATGAAAATTGTTTTAAGCACAATAGAACACTGTATCAACACATGATGTCCATGACTTTAACTATTTACATTACCAGCAAATGAAAGAATATTGCTAGTACAGTGGTAGAAATCTTTAAGATGAAACCAGACAAGTTCCTTCAGGAGGTGTTTAATCAGCCAAACTGTGATGGTTGTGATAAGGTATTCTCAAGGAAACCTAGCTGCAGCTTGAGCTAGAAGAGTAATGAAACTCAAAATCAGTCGCAAGTGCAGGACTGTGTGTTGTATTGTTCCAGTCATGGTATTGTGCTTTTTTGTTCTTCATAATTTTTTTCAATGTGTTGCAGATGCCAGACTTGGTAGCAGAGGTTCGCAGCGGGGAGTACGAAGCTGAGTGTCGGCAGCAGTGTGCGTATAATCTGCCATGTATGGTAGCCTTTGCTGGAGGATCAACTACCTACCGAACCAGTTTGCATGAGACTGTCTCATCTCTTGTTACTGACCCCAGTCAACAAGTTCGAACAACAGTAGCAGCAGCCTACCATCAGGTGTGTGCTAAGTCTAATACGTACTAGCAATGATTAGATTCAGATTCATTATTTATATAAGCCATTTTATATTCTTTCTTCTTTCAACAAACTGGCCGTATCCCACCGAGGCATGTTGGCCCAAAAAGAAAAACGAAAGTCTCTCTCTTTAAATTTAGTAATTTATATGGGAGAAAGGGTTAGCCCCTTGCTCCTGGCATTTTAGTCGCCTCTTAAAGCATGCATGGCTTACGGAGGAAGAATTCCGTTCCACTTCCCCATGGAGATAAGAGGAAATAAACAAGAACAAGAACTAGTAAGAAAATAGAAGAAAAACCAGAGGGGTGTGTATATATATGCTTGTACATGTATCCTACCATCTTGTAAAACAAGTACATACAGGTTTCCATTTTACACTCACTTGGCCATTTTATATATGTTGCATAAATAGTACTGTAAATGGTTACTTATAATGGAATGTACTGTATGTACTGGTAATACAGTGGAACCTTGACTTAAGAGTTTAATCTGTTCCGTGACCTAGCTCGTAACTCAATTTACTAGTACATATGTATATCAAATAAATTTTCCTCATTTAAATTAATTGAAGAGTCATTAATCCGTTCCTGCACTCTGGAGACAAGACAAAATACTTGAATATGACACTAATATCAACTGTACGGCTTATTTATCTATCACAATTCATCTAATATGACATAATAAACAATATAATTAACACAAACATGATATATACTCTAGAATGAATAAAATAGGTCATAATATGGTGGCAGAGGCAGGGGTGGAAGCATCTGCCATTTCCTGTCTAACTTTTACTATAGTATCTTCTCATGCTCTTATTGTAAGAGAAAATGGAGTATTTGTGAGGCTACTTGCAGAAATATCATATATGAAAACATAATAAATCATAATACACTAAAGAATGTAAAGAAATGTTAAACTGTTTATATAAAGTGTATATGTACTTACACACTTGGAGCAGAGATGGTGGGGGATGTTGAGGGTGGGGGATGTTGAAGGTGCGGTAGGTTGAGGGTGGGGGATGTTGAGGGTGCGGGAGGTTGAGGGTGGGGGAGGTTGAGGCTGTGTGTATGATGTCGGTGGCCCCGTAAACCTCCAACAACAACATTGTTTTGTTTAACCCTTAAACGGTCCAAATGTATATATACGTTCACTCGCTTAGTGCCCCAAACGTATATATACGTTTTATTTTTCCTGCCTCCAAATTTGGCACAATTGGCCTGAGATGCCTGGTCAGCATAGAATTGGTCTTAACACTCGGTGTGCGTAGTATTAAAAAAATCTTGGACCACTTAGTACCTTGTGGGAGCGCCAGTTAAATTGAGCACCAGCTAGAGCAAACAGTGCTGCAAACACCAAGGATTCACTGATGTAATGTCATATTAACACTTCTCTTTTAAGAGGAAAGTGATGTTAACCCCAAGTTCAGGGTCTGTCTATCTCTGTCTCTGTCTTTCTGTCTCTGTATATCTGTCTCTTTCTGTCTGTCTTTGTCTATCTCTGTCTATCTGTCTGTTTGTCTATCTGTGTCTGTCTCTGGCTTTGTCTCTGTCTATATCTTTCAATCTGTCTTTGTCTATCTGTCTCACAGGTACACATAAATACAAGTATATGTAGTATAAATTACCTAGGATAATCCAAAAATCCAGACAAAGTGCTATACTCTGCTTGAAGATGTGAGTAAAGGTGATGATGCAGTCTTGTGGCTCTCTCTGAGACAGAGAGCTAGATGGATAGACAGGGAGCTTGACACAGACAGACAGATAGACAGACAAAAATGTTTGTGTGCCAGCAAAAACAAAGGGAGAGGGATGGTCATCTAATCTTTTCTTATCAGCTGCACCCTACCCCCACCCTCGTGTATGCTCATCAAACAGCAGCTCTTATGCAATGTGTTATCCCTGATAGGTCGACTGGTCAGGGGTGGACTTGGGTTTGTTGGTGATGCTGTCGGGACTATGTATTATGTAGTGTATGGTGTTATGTGGTGGTGGTGTGGGTGGTGGGGTGAGGTTGTGTATGTGTGTGTGTGCGTGTGGTGGTAGGTTGGTGTTGATGGGATGGTGTTGAAGAACGAAGATAGAGACAATATATATATGATGATGAATACGTATATGAAGAGAACGATAGAAGACCTACAAGAACGCACGAACGACCGACGACGCCTCGCCACCGAACCACCGCTCCCTCCCTAACGCAGACTCCGACTCGAACGCCCTCACTCCCCCATCCGCCTCCTCCCCCTCCTCCTCACTCCTCCTCCTCCCCTCCTCCTCCTCCTCCTCCTCCCAACCTCCTCCCTCCGTCCTCCTCCTCCCCCTCCTCCTCCTCCTCCTCCCCCCCCTCCTCCCCTCCTCCTCCTCCTCCCCCTCCTCCTCCTCCTCCCTCCTCCTCCTCTCCTCCCTCCTCCTCCTCCCTCCTCCTCCCTCCTCCTCCTCCCCCCTCCTCCTCCTCCTCCCTCTCCTCCTCCCTCCCTCCTCCCTCCTCCTCCTCCTCCTCCTCCTCCTCCTCTCCTCCTCCTCCTCCCTCTTCCTCCTCCCTCCTCCTCCTCCCTCCTCCTCCTCCTCCCTCCCCCTCCTCCTCCAAATCCTCCTCCTCCTAATCCTTCTAATCATCCTATCCTCTCTCCTCTCCTCCCTCCTATCATCCTAATCATCATCATCCTCTCTCCTCCTCCTCATACTCCTCCTCCTCCTCATACTCCTCCTCTTACTCCTCATCTCATCCTCATACTCATCTCCTCCTACTCATACTCCTCTACCTTACTCACTCCTCCTCATACTACTACTCCTCATACTCATCCTCCTCATACTCCTCCTCCTCCTCATACTCATACTCATATCCAAAACATTGCTGGGACCTATAAATACTTTGTTTATATTCCAAGACAATAGTAAATGACCAAGGCAGGTGTAAATGTCCACCTGTCAGTGTCTTTGTGACAATTCAAGTACAATTTCAGAACCTAATATTAGTGTTAGAACGAAGATTGGTTATGAAATGACAAGAACTACTATAAATTGTAATTATCAGAACATAAAAATTACATAAAATAATATGAAAAATAGAAAAAAAGGCATATTGGCAACACTTCTGCAAGTGGCAGGACTCGCTGTTGCTGTCACATGAACATCCAGTGCCAACTTCTGGGCCTCATATCTCGGTAAATACTGACCCTAAAAAAAAATTTTTTTTATCCTATAACACTTAGAAAAATGTGCTCTTTTTTTTTCAATAAAAAAACTATTTTTTTATTTTTCAAAATATTCGGGGCGCTGCGCTAGTGAACGTATATATACGTTTGGACCGTTTAAGGGTTAATCACTGAACATAACTGATACAGCTTTAGTATCTACATATCGTAGATGTACTAAGCTGGTATTGCCTGGCTAAGTCCATGAAAATCATTGTCTTTTTCTTCTCAGCACTGTCCTTTGCACTTATTTTCTTAGGATCCATGGTTAGAAAAAAGAAATTTGGCCAAAGGACTGTAAAAAAGTGCAAGCAAACATGAGAGAACTGCTCCCACAGTGATGTAAACATGTGTACTGCTTACCGGATGTTTTGGCATCAGCTGTGCCAACTAGCGGCAGCATTCTGGATGATTATTACGTACGAATTATGTATTTATTATTATTATTATTATTATTTTGGGATCTGAAGCTCTATCATTTTTATTACATTATTATTGTTATTATTATTATTATTATTATTATTATTATTATTATTATTATTATTATTATCATCATCATCATCATTATTAAGTTAGGTAACTGGAGCACAGATCCAATTCCTTAGATCAAGAGTCCCTCATCAGCATCAAGGAACCTTGACTGGTGAGGAGTTTTTGATCTAGGGAATTGGATCTGTGCTCTAGTTACCTGAATTAATTAATAATAATAATAATAATAATAATAATAATTAACTAATAATGATAATTATTATTATAATAAAGAACGCCTCCAACTCAGTGCACTGTTTACCTCGCTGTGGGAGCAGTTCTCTCATGCTTTGCTTACATTTTTGACAGTCATTTGGCCAAATTTCATTTTTCTAAGCATGGGTTCTAAGAAAGTAAGTGTAAAGGACAATGCTGAGAAGAGAAAGTGGATGATTTCCATGGAATTAAAGCATGAAATCATAGATAAACAAGTGAGGTGTCCAGGTTTTGCATTGATGGGGAAGCAGGGGGAGCTGGCTTGTAACTCAAATGTTGGCTCGTAACTCAGAGCAAAAAATCAACCCAGGGACGGCTCATATCTCAAAAAACTTGTACATTGGGACACTTGTAAGTCAAGGTTCCACTGTACACTAATAATTAATATTTGTGAAGCTTGTTGTTCAAAAAAGGTCTATCAAGAAGTAAGATAAATAATTATGAATATGTGTTTGAATATAAGTTATGCTGAGAAAACCGATTGTAAGTTACTGTATAAAATAACAATAATAATAATAGCACTACAATAATAGTTGCAGTTCTTTGGATCATATGACTTGTAATGTACATGCACTTTTGGCAAGGTAACTGGAAGCTTGGTAATGAATAACAGTGAATGAGTTTTATATCTTTGAGTCATCCTCCCACCTTGGTGTGGTATGGCCAGTTTATGAAAAATGCACATGTGTGTGCATTTATGTCATGATTTTTAAGTTGAATTTGTCGACTTGGCTTTCTCAGCTATGATTGTTTAGTGAAAAAAAAGCAATCCAAGCTTATTTTTTTACCTTTTTTAACTATACCTAAATCAAAACATGCTGAACATCACAAACTTAAAATAATTTATTAATTTCAAATAAGACATTACTGTATATAAAATTGTGCTGCTGTATGCAGGTTATCTGGTTACGGACTGGGCCCCGGGGTATTGTTCCTCAGAATGTTCTCCAGGTATCTATAAATGAATAAATCATTACTGTATTAGGAAATGTGACCTAATGAAAGACTTACTCTTTCATAGTATTTTTCTTGCTTCATGTCAGCTGTGTACATTGGTTGGTGCTGAGGTGGGTCTTCTGAAAGAGGGACTTCTACTGTTGTTACGCTCAGAAAACCTGGATATATTGGCAGCATTAACTCCCAACCTCCCCCATATTATTACCACCATGCACAGACATAATGCAGTTACACCACAGTCTCCTGTAAGTAAAACTTTAATTAAAATGCCCATTTAATTTTTTTTTTTGACATGCCCTTGTCAAAGTACAAGATATTATAGCATCAAGAATTTAATGTTCTTGTTGGTATCATTTCCTTGACTATAAAGAATTTGGACAGATAATTCTCTGTCAGACACTGGGGGAATGTAGTAAAAAGACTGGACTAGAACATTCAGAAATACAGTAAATCCTCAATTTAATGGACTTCTTAAATATGGGACAAACCCTGCTAAGTCAGTTGATTTGGTAACACAGACTGTTGGTTACAGAATTGTCCATTATTGCTACGATCATGGAAGATAATCTCATCTCTCTCCACCACAACCACCATTACTGCCCACCTGCTTCTTCCTATTAGTTTGTTTCATTCATATATACAATATACTGTATGCGGCATTTATTTTTTTAGTATACATATTTTTTTTTACTGTTTGTCTTTTTTATGTAAATTTGAGAAAACTGAATTTTCTTATTATTCAGGGTTCAGCTTTTGTGATGTATTTTCTACTGAACCATCATCCATCTCTTCTTGGATAAAATACAGTATGTGTTTTGATATTAAAAATGTTGGGCAGATTACTAGTTTGGTAGCAATCTTTCATATTGTTAAAATTCTGTTTTAAATGTATTAAATTAAATTTTAAATAGGTTTTACTTTTGCTTTTCATATTTTTACATAGTGTCTGCCAAATAATTTACTTGTGATTTACACTGTTCTTTTATAACTTCCAAAATCAAGTAATTTAAAATTGCTAATATAGGAATCTGATGATAAGGAGACAAATGCAATTATGTGGAATTCTTTATTGACAATGTTTTACTCACATAGTGGGCAAAAATATTGTCATTAAAGGATTCCATAAAACTGCATATGTATGTATTTCTAATTACTATCATGCTGGTATTTCATGCCATCACCTTTCTTCTGTTTTTCTTTTATAGTATTAATGGAGACTTCCTTTGTGATCACAGAATTTATGATAGAAAAGTGTGCTGGAACATGAGATAAGTTTTTGTTTCCTTTCTTTATTACGTTTTATGCTCCTTGTTTCATAACAGAAGTTAAAAAGTAATACAGAATACGTATAGAGACAATTCTTTGTCATTTTTGCTCAAAAATTAGGACATTTTAGTTGTAATTCCTAATACTGTAATTCCTCTCTGGCTGAGCAGAGGGGAGATCTTCTGGAGCTGGTAGGAGCTATCAAGCAAGGGGAGGAGACTGTGAGCATAACCAGTATGTGGCGGGTTCATGCTGAAACCTTGACGCAAGCAGCTGCCCTCGCTCCCTGTCTTCCACCAGATCTCATCTTCACTCAGCTTGTTCCTCTCATGTTTGTTAGGATGCAAACTGCTGTAAGTATCATAACAAAATAATTATGTTTTGAATTTGATCTTATTATAATACAGATATAATTTGATACAATATAAGGCTTAGAAGAAAGCCACTGATCATGCAAATGGAATTTGGACAATCTAATTATAAGGCTACATACTATGTATATCTAGGCTTAGTTTATAATTTAAGTCAATGCAGTTTAGGTAATTCATTACAATTATAATTATACTGAGACATGTTTCAAATGAAGAACTATAATAATTGAAGATATAGTTCTTGGATAGTCTCTATATATACATTAAAAGTGACATTTCACAAAGTATGAATGTTCTGTATTTTTTAAAAACTAACTGAGAAAAAGAGTAATATTTGTAATTCAGCATTAAGAAAAATTGTAATTATTATTATTATTATTATTATTATTATTATTATGGACAAATAAACACATATGCAGTATAATGTGATCCTTTATTGACTACGTTTCGCCCACACAGTGGGCTTTTTCAAGTCACAAACAGAACTACCTGGGGTGGAAGGAACGCGAGTATTTATAGTCAGGTTCAGAATGGTGAGGTCAGGTGGAGAATGCTGCATCTGATGATGTATCGAGTGGGGTTATAGAGTCTAAAATCTTGGGTAGCTTGGAAAGGAGATTGGATAAGTTTGTGAGCAGACCTTCTACAGTGTTCTTATGTGGGATAGCGATGAAGAAGTTGCCAAGAAACTTCTTCATCGCTATCCCACATAAGAACACTGTAAAGGTCTGCTCACAAACTTATCCAATCTCCTTTCCAAGCTACCCAAGATTTTAGACTCTATAACCCCACTCGATACATCATCAGATGCAGCATTCTCCACCTGACCTCACCATTCTGAACCTGACTATAAATACTCGCGTTCCTTCCACCCCAGGTAGTTCTGTTTGTGACTTGAAAAAGCCCACTGTGTGGGCGAAACGTAGTCAATAAAGGATCACATTATACTGCATATGTGTTTATTTTTCCATTGTGTTGGTATTTTATACCATTTATTTCCATTATTATTATTATAAATTTTTTCTTGAAATCTTTAGCGGCCAATACCATGTCGGCTTGCTGCAGCCAGAACCCTGCTGGTGTACTTGCGACATATGAACACATCAGAGCAGAGAGACCATATCAGTAATACTCTTGTGTCAGGTGTGTTTTCATGTTCACTCTAAATGCATGTTTTTTAAAGAATTTATATTTATATGACCTGTCACTGTCAGTGGGGATCTTTAATGCTAGTAGGTTAGAACAGAACATACCAGTTGAGAACATTTCATCATAATGAACAATGAAATTCACCATACTGTGGCAGGAACAATTCACAACTAACCCACAAATTGTAAATTATTTTTTTTTTATAATCTGGCCTCTTCCAGCACATTGTTAAATGCCTTATGCATCAGAAATCACATAGCTTGACATAGCCTTGGCTATCTTCTCACCTCTCAATAACCTAACTTGCTTTAATGCTTTTCTTTTCTCTCTCTCTCATGATTTCATAATTGTCCAAGACAGACCAGACTATCATCTAGTTTCCAGATTCAAGTAATGGGCGCATTGTCAGTAATGAACATCTGAGCTCTTTTGTGTATTGTCATTATGACATGTAAACCCTACAGCATTTACTTGTGATGCTTAGAAAGTACAGCTATTTGTCCTTAGATGACTTTTGAATTTCTTAAGAGGCAGATACTAGTTACATGAGTAGTTAATGGGTAATTAATAAAAGAGAAGTACAGTACTGTATTACGAAGCATAAAGGAATGCGTTTTCTTTAGACCAGAGGATGTATGTTAATCTAGTCAATGCTTATAGCACAGAAAAATTAAACCCTACCATAAAGATTTTCTCTAATTTGCAGAAAAATTAAACCCTACCATAAAGATTTTCCCTAATTTGCAGAATTTTGTGAAGGAAACAGTTGCCACAAGCGCATGCTGTTTCTGAGTGTTGCTACGATGGTTCTTGAAATGTTCTCCAAGGCTTTCTTCAAGTCTAATTTCTTCAGGCCACTACTATCTCTACACAGTGAGTAAATTACTTTACCAGTAGGATAAGATAATTATATATAAGCAATTTATCTTCGGGAAGAGGTAGTACATACAACTTCTGGAAACTTTAAACAGTCATAATGATAAGCTCAGTACTGTAGACAGAGCAATACCGGCACTTCACTTCTCTTATAACTAAAAGTTGTGCCAAGTATCTTACCACGCAGGCAGCTAATTTACAAATTTGAGAAAGTATAATGGAATATTACAGTGTAAACAGTAGGAATGTCATAGTGTAAAAGAAGTTGGGTTGAGTAGTATCAATTGGAGTTTCAAAGGTTGTGTTCTGGGTAATGAATACTACATTCATCTTTTTGCACATTTAAAGAATGTTGATCATAATGAAAATTCAGTTCCACAACTTGAAGAATTTACCAGAGCAGGTCAGTTACAAGTCAGTTATCCTTATAGTGAAATAACTTCATTTTCTTATGTGCTTTGGCAAACAGCTGCGGTGCACAACTAAAATCAAACTACCGTAACTTTAATATACATACACATTTGAAGGTAAAATTACTAAAGCTAGTGATATCATGTTTGTTTTCTAATAGATATACTATTTCTTCAATAATTTAGTGTACTCATTCCAGTTGTGAAGCCTCTGATGATTTTCACATCATTTTGTATCTCAGTCTCTCTCATTTATTGGTAAGCACCCATCAAGTCTCAGACTTAGTTACTAAACTACGAAATCACAACAACATTATTGTAAACAAATCCCGGAATAAGTGGGTTTGAACTCATGGTATGCGAGTCTTAGAAATAGAGACCTGTATACTTAAAATAAATAATGGAATGGAATAGTTGTGCAGGGTAATGATTTGTGGGAGAAATATAAAATTTACAAGAATTTTTTTTTTGGTGGAAGAAATACAAAATTTGCAATAATTTGTTGCGACTAATATGTCGTAGCTTTCTAGTATATCTTATACATCACCTGACTGATCTGAGACCAGACAGTAGTCAGCAGATGGAGAATCAAACTTCCACTACAATAACCCACACATAGGACAGAGAAAAGCTCATGACAATGTTTCGGTCCAAGATGGATCAAAAGTCGTCATAAACTTTTCTCTCTCCTATGTGTGGGTTATTTGTGTATTGTTCCAGTCACTGTATTGTCCTTTTTATGCTTTCTTCCACTATGCCTTGTGCTGGATGACTCACAGTATTCATAAAATACAGTAAGAGAGCTCAAAATAGCCAGGCAATACCCAAATGGATGAAATAACTCATTATGTCTTACAGATGATCGAGTTCCCAACATTCGATTGAAGCTGGTGATGCTACTTCCTCAGATGAAAGCCACAATTTCAATGCCTGAGGATAAAGGCAGGCTGCAGGTTAGATGCTCCTTATACTGTATCTCTTGTATTTTTAACTTGTGTTGTCTGAATCTCTGTAAAAGGAATTACATAATTTTTCATTCCATCATCTGTATCTTTCTTTATCTGCATCTAAATTGTCCTCATCTAACATACTGTATATTATTATCATAACTATTATTATTACATTACCCTGCTCACACTCCAACAGATCGTCAGGTCCCAAGTACCATTCGTCTCCATTCACTCCTATCTAACACGCTCACGCACGCTTGCTGGAAGTCCAAGCCCCTTGCCCACAAAACCTCCTTTACCCCCTCTCTCCAACCCTTTCGAGGACGACCCCTACCTCGTCTTCCTTCCCCTATAGATTTATGTGCTTTCCATGTCATTCTACTTTGATCCATTCTCTCTAAATGACCAAACCACCTCAACAACCCCTCTTCTGCCCTCTGACTAATACTTTTATTAACTCCACACCTTTTCCTAATTTCCACACTCTGAATTTTCTGCATAATATTTACACCACACATTGCCCTTAGACAGGACATCTCCACTGCCTCCAACCATCTCCTCGCTGCTGCATTTTCCACCCAAGCTTCACACCCATATAAGAGTGTTGGTACTACTATACTTTCATACATTCCCTTCTTTGCCTCCATAGATAACATTTCTTGACTCCACATATACCTCAATGCACCACTCACCTTTTTTCCCTCATCAATTCTATGATTAACCTCATCCTTCATAAATCCATCCGCCGACACGTCAACTCCCAAGTATCTGAAAACATTCACTTCTTCCATACTCCTCCTCCCCAATTTGATATCCAATTTTTCTTTATCTAAATCATTTGACACCCTCATCACCTTACTCTTTTCTATGTTCACTTTCAACTTTCTACCTTTACACACATTCCCAAACTCATCCACTAACCTTTGCAATTTTTCTTTAGAATCTCCCATAAGCACAGTATCATCAGCAAAAAGTAACTGTATTAATTCCCATTTTGAATTTGATTCCCCATAATTTAATCCCACCCCTCTCCCAAACACCCTAGCATTTACTTCTTTTACAACCCCATCTATAAATATATTAAACAACTATGGTGACATTACACATCCCTGTCTAAGACCTACTTTTACCGGGAAGTAGTCTCCCTCTCTTCTACACACCCTAACCTGAGCCTCACTATCCTCATAAAAACTCTTTACAGCATTTAATAACTTACCACCTATTCCATAAACTTGCAACATCTGCCACATTGCTCCTCTATCCACTCTATCATATGCCTTTTCTAAATCCATAAATGCAATAAAAACTTTCCTACCTTTATCTAAGTACTGTTCACATATATGCTTCAATGTAAACACTTGATCTACACATCCCCTACCCACTCTGAAACCTCCTTGCTCATCCGCAATCCTACATTCTGTCTTACCTCTAATTCTTTCAATTATAACCCTACCGTACACTTTTCCTGGTATATTCAATAAACTTATTCCTCTATAATTTTTACAGTCTATTTTGTCCCCTTTCCCTGTATATAAAGGGCTTACATCCCTTCCCCAACCCTATTTCCCCCTCTTTATACATTTTTTAAACAAAATACCAACCACTCCCCCCCCCCAACACCATACCCTTTTTCCACTTTTTCCCCCTTTTCTTTCTACAAAACCTCATTATCCCCCCCCCTTTACTTTCTGCCCTTTTCACCCCAAAAATTAACCCCCTACCATCATAAAATCCTTTTTTTTCCCAACAAAAACCTCAAATATTTTTATCAAAACAAACCCCTTTCCCCCACAAAAACACCCACCTTTTTTAATACCCCAATTTTTTCCCCCTTTTTTCTTAACTTTTTAAAACACCCAAAATTTTTTCATTTTTTTAAATTTTTACATCCTTCTCCCCTTATCACTCCCTTCTTTTGCACCTCTCACTACTCCTTTTCCCTTCTTTTACTTCCATATACTCGTCCCCATAACACTCTCTTTGTAAAAAAAAAAACCCTCTCAAAACCCACCTTTTTCTTTTTATCCACCCTTTACTTATCTTTCCCACCAATCACTCCTTTTCCCCCTGCCCCCCCCCTTTCCTATTTTATTTTATTATTATTTCTTTAACATACGGCTGTACCCCCCGGGCGGGGTGGCCAAAAGGAAAAATAAAAGCTTCTCCTTTTACTTTTTAGTAAAAAACAGGAAAAGGGGGGTTTACTGCCCCTTGCCCCCGGCCCCTTTTGTCCCTTTACAAAACGCAGGCTTACGGGGGGAAAAAATTTTCTGTTCCCTTCCCCATGGAGAGAAAACGGAAATAAACATAAAGAAAATAGTAAGAAAATAGAAGAAAAACCCCGAGGGGTGTGTACATTTTTAATATATATAATATATTATATAAATCTTTCTTTCTTCAACACATCGGGGTTTCCCCCAAGGGCGGGGTGGCCCAAAAAGGGGAAAAAACGAAATTTTTCTCCTTTTACTTTTAGAAATATATACAGGAGAAAAGGGTTACTAGCCCCTTGCCCCCGGGCATTTAGTCCCTTTACAACACGCATGGCTTACGGGGGGAAGAATTCTTTTCCCACTTCCCCAGGGAGAGAACAGGAAAATAAACATAAAGAAAAAAACTAGAAAGAAAACAGAAAAAACCCCAGAGGGGTGGGGTTAATAATTATATTTATTTATATAATATTATATATATTTATATTTGCTTTAATGTATGTTAGGTGCCCTAAGGGTAAGAAGAAGTAGAAGCATACCTGAAATCTTGCATGTTTCGAGACAGGAAAAATGGACACCAGCAATCCTACCATCATGTAAAACAATTACAGGCTTTCGTTTTACACTCACTTGGCAGGACGGTAGTACCTCCCTGGGCGGTTGCTGTCTACCAACCTACTACCTAGGATTATTATTATTATTATTATTATTAATAGTAGTACATGTAGTAGTAATGTACATGTACAGTATTATGCTTCAAATGTACAGTGTTGTGTTGCAACTCATGAGATGTAAATGCAGGATCACTGGTACATGCATGACCACTGATACTGAGTCAAGCAAACTGTATTTTTGTGCAGTATATCATATCTCATAAACATATTATCTTCTCTTTTTCTTAAAATAAGCCTTTCCTATTTTCAAGCCTCTTTCTGCACATAATTCATGACAGGCTCCTCATCTTCTTTACTGTTTCTCTGGCACTCCAAACTTGCCTTTTGATCCCTTTACAAGTCTCTCCCACATTAGCATTTACGTCACATAAGCCATGTGTGCAAGCTTCTTCATCAGAGTTCATACTCATTGTACAGTATATGCTTATTTATGTGTCTGTGGAACTGGCTACAGTAGAGGAAATCCAACTTAAGTTGTAAATGCACTAAAATTCAACAAAGAAATTGTGTGGTAAAGCATTATAATCATATAGAAAAAATCTTTCCATGATAAAGTTAACCAGTATGAAATTAGAAAAAGGCTTTGTTACCTTGTGCTTTGCACTTTTCACTTTTAAATTGTATTTGTTGTATAGTACAGGTATTGTAATGAAACTTTAATATATATTACAGGAGCTGGAAACTGTAGTGGGCAGCTTACTTGTGAATGAGAATGATAGAGATGTGTCAGCAGCCATCTCTACTACTATCTCTCAACTTGACAAGATTGAAGTCTGTGAAAGCCAGGTACTAAATATCACCTAACCAGTTATCTGATTTAAGTAATCTTTTTGATGTCTGTGCACTTCTAAAATGGCAGCTACAAAATTAAGTGAGGGCTAATATTTCTTTCTTTGGCTAATGTGTTAATTTTATTTTCCATATTGTTTAAATCATATAGATCAACATAACTACACAATATGGTGGAATCAGTTTTGATAATAATAACAAAACATCCTCTAAAAAAATTCTCCAATTCACCTTATCTCGGATCTTCAGTCTTCTGTTACATCAGCAAAGGTTGCATTAGTAAGTCCTGTACTGCATTGCCATACCATTCTCAGTTTTCATTATTATAAGTAACAACATATGAACACAAACACAACTTGCATAAAATGATACGAGAACCTCACCATATGGTGAGAACAGCAAACTGTGTTGAGTGTACTGCAGTCTGAACTGCTCTTTTTACAGTTGCCACTTGTATCACTCAATAAACACAATCTCTCAAATATGTTAAGGCATCAGGCAATGTCAGTTGCATTTAGTATAATTCTGCATTCACAGCCTTAGTTGTATTTTAAGGCATCAGGTCAGTTTATAATACCAAAAACGTAACATCCTCAAGAATTATAAGAACATAAGAAAGGAGGATCACTGCAGCAGGCCTGTTGGACCATACTAGGCAGGTCCTTTACAATTCATCCCACTAAAAAAACATTTGCCCAACCCGATTTTCAATGCTACCCAAGAAATAAGCTCTGATGTGCAAGTCCCACTCAAATCCAACCCCTCCCACTCATGTATTTATCCAACCTAAATTTGAAACTACCCAAAGTCCTAGCCTCAATACCCCAACTAGGTAGACTGTTCCACTCATCAACTACCCTATTTCCAAACCAATATTTCCTATGTCCTTTCAAAATCTAAATTATCAAATTTAAATTCCATTACTGCGGGTTCTCTCTTGGAGAGATATCCTCAAGACCTTTTTAAATTCCCCTTTATTAATACCTATTCTTCCACTTATTACACTTCGATCAGGTCTCCCCTCATTCTTCGTCTAACAAGTGAATGTAAAATTAAGAGTCTTCAATTTTCTTCATAAGGAAGATTTCTAATGCTATGTATTAATTTAGTCATCCACACTGAATGTTTTCTAAAAAAATTTATGTCCATTCTGTAATATGGAGACAGAATTGAGCTGCATAATCTAGGTGAGGCCTTACTAATGATGTATAAAGCTGCAGTAAAGACCTCTGGACTTCTGTTGCTTACAGTTCTTGATATAAATCCCAGTAATCTATTTGCCTTATTACATACGCTTAGGCATTGCTGTCTTGGTTTAAGGTTGCTGCTCACCATAACCCCCAAGTCCTTTTTGCAATCTGTATGGCTAAGTTCTACATCATTTAACTTATAAGTGCTAGGGTTATGGACACTCCCGAGCTTCAGAACCTTGCATTTATCTACATTGAACTGCATCTGCCACTTTTCTGACCAAGAATAGAGTTTGTTTAAATCCTCCTGAAGTTCCATAACATCTACGTTTGAATCAATTATCCTAGCAACATGAAAGTCGTTAACTTCTTAATTTTCATCTCAGTGATATAAAACTAGTACTTCTGATTCCATATTAACAGTTCACTGCAGGGTAAGTGTTGGATCATATTATCATTGTTTTGAAGTTTGTAGTTATTATATTTTTATGTTTACAGCGTGGTTCTCCAGAAGGTGAATCTGGTGGGCAGGAGACAGAGGATGAGAGAAGAGAAAGACAGGAGAGGAGAGTTGTCACTGATTCAAAGACACCAGATAAAAAATCTCCAGGTTTATATGCCTTTCTTGTTTCAAAATATTGATGTATCTGCTTGTTTTATTTTGCCATGTATTAGAATGGTGCATTTAAACTTCCATATATTACATTCTTTTGCATACAGCAGGCTCACAGGAAGTGTAGGGTATATTCTTGAAAAAATGAAATCTGTGGATTTAATATTCTTGGAAAAATTAGGCTACTTTTTAGCATTTTTAAAGCTAAATCCTTCCCAAATATATTAGCACTGGGCTTTCAGCATCCTCCTCCCCCCAGAAAAAAGAAATTGTTGAGGGAAGCTGGTCATTGAGCCGGGTAGGGTGTGACTTTGCAGCTCTATATCACTAGCTATGGGCTCATACACTTTGTGTCATCATGACTTTTAAAAACACTATATCTACAATATAATGCAAGATTACAGGTACGTCTTGCTACTTTTACTTACACTTAGGTCACATTACACATACATGTACATGTTTATTTATACACACTCATCTGAGTTTTCTTTGATTTTATCTTAATAGTTCTTGGTCTTATTACTTTTCCTTTTATATCCATGGGGAAGTGGAATAAGAATCTTTCCTCCGTAAGCCATGCGTGTTGTAAAAGTGAACTAAAATGCCGGGAACAATGGGCTAGTAACCCCTTTTCCTGTAATAATTACTAAAAAGAATAAGAAGAAAATTGTCAAAGTGGGAAGTCTGAATGTGCATGGATGTTGTGCAAATGATAAGAAAGAGATGATTGTGGATGTTATGAATGAGGGAAAAAAGTGGATGTCCTGGCTTTAAGTGAAACAAAGCTGAAGGGGGTAGGAGAGTTTCAGTGGAGAGGAATAAATGGGATTAGGTCAGGAGTTTCAAATAGAGTTTGAGCTAAAGAAGGAGTAAGAAGTCCCGGTTATTTTTATATAGCCAGACTTGAGTCTGGAAAGGGAAGTACAATGCCTGCACTTAAAGGAGGGGTTTGGGAAAATTGGCAGTTTGGAGGGTATTTGTGTATTTTTTATAACTTGAGCCTCACTATCCCGTAAAAACTCTTCATGCTTTCAGTACCTACCTCCTACACCATACCCTTGCAAATCTGCCACATTGCCCCCTATCCACCTGTCTTTACGCCTTTTCCAATCCATAAAATGCCACAAGACTTCTGTTAGCGTATTAGATAAGGCTAAAGAGGTCTTTGTTTCCCCCCCCCCCCATTTATGGATTTGGAAAAGGCGTATAACAGGGTGGATAGGGGGGCAAAGGCGATGTTGCCCAAATGTATGGTGTAGGAGGTAGGTACTGAAAGCAGGAAGAGTTTTTCGGGATTTTGTGAGGCTCAAGTTAGAGTATGTAGGAAAGAGGGAAATTTTTTCCAGTAAAAGTAGGCCTTAGGGCAAGGATGTGTGATGTCAACCCTGTTGTTAATATATTTATTAGATGGGGTTGTAGAGAAGTAATTTCGAGGTCTTGGCAAGAGGGGAGTTAAAGTTAAAGAATCACACACAAATGGGAGTTGTCACAGCTGCTCTTTGTGATACACTGTGTCTTGGGAGATTCTGAAAAGAAGTTGCAGAGATTGGTGGATGAATTTGGTAGGGTTTTGCAAAAGAAGAAAATTTAGGTGAATACAGGAAAGAGTAAGTTATGAGGATAACCAAAAAGATTTTGTTGATGAAAGATTGAATATCCCAAATTAAATTGGGGGGGGTTAATTATTTTAAAATTTTTAAAAAACCCCTTTCCCAAATTTTTAAAAAGTTTAAAAAGTGAGGGAAAAAAAAGTGGTGCATTTTGTGGGGCTTTTTTAAAAAGGGGGGTTTTTTATTTTTACCCTTTAATTTAACTGGGGGAAAAAAACCAGGGGAAAAGGGGGGGGGGGAAATTCATTTCAATTTTGGTATTTCAAAACTTTTTTTAAAAAGGAGGGGGTCGGGAACCAAAATTTTAAAAGGGGGGAAAAGGGTTTGGGTTTTGGCGGAATTTGGGGGAATGGGGGAAAAAAAATTTTAAATTTTTTTTAAACTGTAGGGGAAGGGGGGCGGGGGGGGGGGGGGCCGGGGGGGGTTTGGGGGAAGGGGTTTTAAAAGGAAAGGTTTTTGGGAGGGGCTTGGTTAGGGTTTGGGGGGGTTTTGGAAGAGTGAAGGGAAAAAAGGTTTTTAATATATTTTGGGGGGGAAAAAATAAAATTTGGGTTTTGGGAAAGGGGGAGGGCTTTAAATGGGGTCTTTTAAAAAACTGTAGGTTTTAAAGCCCCCCTTCTGGCGGAAGTGTGGAAAGTGTGTTGGTAAAAGTTTTTCTTTTGGGGACCTGTTTTTTGGGACGGCCGGGGGGGGATAATTAAAAAAAAAAAAAAAAAATTGCTTCAAAGCTGTTGTGTTCTGGAACTTCGAAAAAAACAGTGATTATGTGTGAGTGAGGTGAAAAATGTTGAATGATGATGAAAGTATTTTTTTTTGGGGGTTTTCTTTCTTTTTTGGGTCACCCCGCCTCGGTGGGAGTGGCCCCCACTTGTTAAAAAAAAAAAACCCACAAAATTGTCTTTTTGGTTTTTAAATATTGTAGGATTAGTTTTGTTACATTTAAAAGCATTTATATTTTTACCAAATTCCAGAGTTTATTGCGTAGTGGTTTTTTATTAAGGGGTGTTTTCCTTTACACAAAAATCCCACAAAAAACTTTACTAAAATATCTGTTTTAATCGCCTCTTTAAGACAACGCATGGTTACAGAGGAAAGAATTCTGCTCCACCTTCCCATGGAGTTCAAGAGGAAAAAAACAAGAACAAGAACTAGTAAAGACAATAGAGAAACCCAGAGGGCCTGTACTCACCTAGTTGAGGTTGCAGGGGTCGAGTCTAGCTCCTGGATAGGAATTATACTTGTTTACCTGGAGTTACCTTGGAGAGAGTTCCGGGGGTCAACGCCCCCGTGGCCGGTCTGTGACCAGGCCTTCCTGGTGGTTCAGAGCCTGATCAGCCAGGCTGTTACTGCTGGCCTGCACGCCAAACCAACGTATAGGTGCAACCAGCTGGCTGATGCAAGTGTAGTGTGACCTAAGTGTAAAGTAGAAGTTGAAGACGTACAGCAATCTTGATGTTTATGAGGACAGTAAAAAAGACGCAGCAATCCATACAATCTTGTTAAAATAATATTCAGACTCTTGTTTCACACTACCCTCTGTGGCGGCTGTAGCTAAAATTAGTGGAGGCGCTGCTTGAGAAAATATTTAGCCATTGTTTTAATATTGTGTAAAATGAAACAAGCATATAAAAAGAAAATTTATGCATAAACTTGATAAAATCATAAACCAAAAAATATTTTTTACTTACCTAAATTGTTACAGTTCAAGCTTGATCCATTCATTTAACAACAAAATCCATTCTTCTTGTTCTGCTTTGCACGAAAAGATTAATAATTAAATAAAATAGCTAGAAGCATGATAATCATCTAATTCTACACTTTATCACCTTCAAGAATATGGTACATGGTTTTTAAGCACAACATACATCGCTGAGTCAAAAAGAAACACTATCTTACACTTGCACAACAGGGTTGGCACTGTGTCAGCGACAGTGCTCTCTTTACCTAGCGTGCAGCGTCTTATCTCGAACATGTGCGCATGTGCACAACAGCCAAACCGAGTGTGGAATGTAAGGCCCAGTTCCTAAAAAGATTTTTGTTTTTTTTTCATGTACTAGGGGTGGTACTGAATTAACCCTTTTGGGGGTTTTTTGGTCTCTAGTACGTTTACGCGTAGGGGTTTTTGAGATAGTTCAAAATTCTAGCGGCCAAAAAAATTAGGGGGGGAGAAAAGGGTGGCCTTCTATGAAAGAATGGGTTATGTGGTCGTGTGCACAGTCTAAAAAAAAATCCTGCGCACACAGTGCATAAAAAAAAAAAAAAAATTTGCCATTTTTTTAAAAAATTCAGCGCTTTGCAGTGTATTTTCGTATGGTTTTATTTTGTATTCTTTTTTCTTGGTTCTTTTTTATAGAATGGAAGAAATTAAAAAAAATTTTGAGTGATTTTGATGGTTTTTAAAATAAAAGGGTCCCTTTAAAATTTGAGCCCAAAAGTAGCAAAAAATGTTCTTTTTTACCAAACTTCAAAAGTAAAAAAAATTTTTCCCAAGGTGCAAAAACGTCAACTGGTGAGTTAATATTCTTTACAAGTGCCCCAAAAAAAATTTTTTTTAAACCATTTTTTAAAAATTTGCAGTGTCTGCAAAAACAGAAAATCTTATTTTTTTTGTGTGAAAAATAAAAATTCAAAGTGGAAAGCAAAAAAAATATAAGGGGCCTTGAGACGTGACTAATGACTAGAGGAAATGTTTTTTAGTGCCAGGAATGTCTTTTTGTTTATCTGGACCCTATCGGAAATTGGGCATTTTTTTAAAAATTTGTTTGGGAAATTGGCAAAATTGCTAAATTTGCCCACTGTACTGGTTTTTTAATTTCAAAAAATGGGTGGTTTCTTGCACCCATTCGATAAAAAAAAATGGAGTTCTAGCGAAATATTCATGTTTTTGTCGACTAGTACAGTAAAATTTGGCCCAAAAAAAAGGGGCCCCTCAAAGGGGGGAAAAAATCGCCGAGCGTAAACATCGCCGAGACCGCTAACTTTGGAGAGCAAAAATCCGTAAGTTTTCTTTCAAATTTCAAATTTTTGGTGTTTTTATGACGGGAAAAGTTCCTATTTTTCTAAGGAAAAAAATTTTTTTTTTTTTTTTTTTTTAATTTGGCCGACCCTGAGAACGAGTTTGGAGAGGGCCTGTCGACCCTAAAAGGGGTTTAAAGCTTAAGGATTATATAATGTAAAAGTATAAAGAAGAATTAAAAAAAAAAAGACATTACTTTTAAATGTTATCGAAAATACGAGTAAAAATAGGGTGCTGCATTCGCGGTTTTGTCTATCAAGACCCCGCCATGACACTTATTGCGGATGGTGGGACCCCCTGGGCATTGCTGTTACAAACTACTCCTACTTATGTAAATATTATTGTATTTTTACATTTTTCCAGTTTTTAAA